CCAGTTGATTTTTCTCATGATGGGCAGCACGTGTTTGAAAGAGTTCAGAACCTTATTCCTCGTGTTGGTAAACGTTGCATTGAAGACCCTGAGGTGCTCGGTATGATCCAAGCTCTTGTTCCTAACATGCAGGTTGTCACCGTCATGGCATGTCGAGGGGCCAGTAGGACTTTAGCACCTCCCGAGAATCTTATGCGAGGAATAGCACCACTTCGTCGCAGTGTTTTTTCTGAACGGGGAACAGGGGAACTTCGAGCTGAGGAAGAATGGGAACCATGGGAGGATTTGGCAAAGAGAAACCTGATAAGACCTTCCCATGCCACCAGAGTCAATATCACGATGTTTGCCAAACCCAGAGATATGCCTCGACCAGACAGCCCGGGTACACAATCCCATGGCCGTGATCCAAGCTCCGTTTCAGCACCAACAGGCGCTGAACATGCACCCAATTCAGAACCATCGGGACAAACTGCAGAGATCGAAGGGGATCTTCAGGATGGCAGTGTCCCCGAAAATATTTCCATGCCACCAACAGGGTTGTCACAGGCTCAAAATGCCGATCTCCAGAGTGCCAAGCAGTCCAGTCGCTTTAAAGCCCTGCCCAAAGATGAACAGATTGCACTTTTACGCGCCCACAAGAACCTGGGACACCCCAGTCCTGAACGCTTAAGTACACTGCTTCGAAGTCAGGGTTTTAGAGCTGAGATTGCACAGGCCGCACTGGAATTGAAGTGTTCGACATGTCAAGCTGCAAGCCTTCCCAAATTGGCCCGACCGGGGAGCATCCGCGATGAACTGGATTTTAATGATCGTATCTGCATGGATGGATTGGAGTGGACGAATCAGCAAGGCACCAAGTTTCATGTCTATCATGTTGTAGACTGGTCTACAAATTTCCAATGTGCAAGAGTGTCGCAGGAAAGAACATCACAGGCAGTCATCCGACACCTTCTGGAAATGTGGTTTTCATGGGCTGGATCCCCAAGTGAACTAATCGTAGATTCCGGAACAGAGTTCAACTCCGAAGAGTTTGCCGTGTTTGTCCAAGCCAACAACATCCATCTCACGACCATAAGCCCCGAAGCGCAATACCAAAATGGCAAAGCCGAGAGGCATGGAGCTGTTCTCAAATCGATGCTGAGTAAGTACGAGTCCGAGCATCCCATCCAAAATCACCATGACTTAAGTGAAGCTTTGTTTTGGTGCATTCGTGCCAAGAACGCAAGCAGTCTTAAGAAAGGGTACGCACCCGAGGTTTTGGTTTTGGGTAAACACACCAGACTTCCAGGAGCCGTGTGTAGTGATGAGATGCTACCTGCACATCTTTTGATGGACTCTGAAACCTCGCATGGCATTGCTTTTAGGAAACAGCTGGCGTACAGAGAAACTGCACGCCGAGCCTTCTTTCATGCAGACAATGATGCCAGTTTGCGTAGGGCAATGTTACGCAGGTCCCGACCAGGGGGACAACAGTATCTTCCAGGCGAATGGGTCATGATTTGGAAGCAAGGTAAAGGGGCACTCCCTGGTTCTTGGACAGGACCCATGAAGGTAGTTGTACATGAGAACAGTCAGACCATATGGACCACAATGGCATGTAAACTGTATCGATGCGCACCGGAACATGTGCGCCCCGTAACAGCTCAAGAGACTCAAAATATCCCAATTGGACGCAACGAACCTTCAGTATCCCAAATTGCCAATCAGCTACAACAGACCATATCTCAAGGTATCACTCGAGCGATCAACATGCCAGTAGAAATTCCCATTCAACTTGAACCTAATCCTGCCAATGCGTCACCACCTGAAGAGCAATCAGAAGGACAGCCCGATGGAGAGCCTGAAATACCATCCCATCAATCCACTCAATCGACATCCAGCCACTCTCATAACCCTGATAATAACCCTGAACTTAATATCAATAATATACCCTTAAACTCCGAGTCCACTGTAACCAATGATCCAGCCATCAATACTCCAGTACCCGATGATGCTGACGATGACCTCATGTGCGAGGGACTCGTATGCCTGGACGATGATGTCTGCGTGTTCAGTGATGTACCTGATCTAGCATGGCGCTGCGAGATCACAGTATCCGACCGGGACATTCAAGCTTGGAAGTCAGAGGACAATGTCTCTGACATGGCTTTTGCAGTGTCAGCCGCCAAGAAACAAAGGTCTGAGGTACGTTTGTCAACGTTGACCGCCACCGAAAAACAAGAATTCAAGAAAGCAAAAATGGCAGAAGTGCAAAATTGGTTGAAAACTGGAACAATTTCTAAGATTCTGCGTGATCAAGTGCCAGCTGATCAAATTCTCAGATGCCGATGGGTTTTAACGTGGAAACCCATTGATCCCAGTGAAATCAAGAATGGGGGGCCATCCCAGAAAGCAAAAGCACGTTTGGTCATTTTAGGATACCTTGATCCAGAACTTGAAAATCTTCCTCGTGATTCACCAACACTTGGAAGAAATTCCAAATTGCTCCTTCTTCAATTAATTGCATCAAAAGGGTGGCTACTGCAATCGTTTGACATACGTGCGGCGTTCCTTCAAGGCAAACCCCAGACCAATCGAGTTTTGGCAATTGAACCGGTTGAGGAGCTGATAGAAGCCCTGCAGTTGCGAACGAATCAAGTGTGCAAGCTGGAGAAAGGAGCCTATGGTTTGATCGACGCACCATATCAGTGGTTTTTAGCGATCTCTGAAGAACTCAAGAGTTTGGGATTTTCACAAAGTCCTTTTGACCCTTGCCAATTTCTCCTGAGACATCATGAACATGGAACGTTGGAAGGTATCCTGGGGCTACACGTAGATGATGGTATCTGTGGGGGTAGTGAATACTTCAACAGCAAAATTGCCTGCCTTGAGAAGAAATATCCTTTTGGATCCAAGAAAATGAAACAGTTCACCTTCACCGGAATTGAAATGGATCAACTTGCAAACGGAACGATCACCATGAAACAATCAACATACGTCAAAGCTATCAACCCAATCAAAATTTCTCAAGATCGGCGTCAACAAGCCGAAGACAAGATTTCCGAAGAAGAGAGACAATCCCTTCGTGGTCTTATTGGCAGTCTCCAGTATGCCGCGGTGCATACACGACCTGACCTTGCAAGTCGGCTTAGTATGTTACAATCAGACATCAACCGTGCCACGGTGAACACCTTAATATCAGCCAACCAAGCCCTTCATGAAGCCAAGAAATATCACGATACCACAATTCAAATACAACCTATACCAGTAGACGATTTCAGGTTTTTGGCATTTTCCGACGCATCCTTCGCTTCGAAGACCAATCCAAGCTCACACACGGGGTGCATGATCATGGGAACACATAGACTTATTAGTAAAAATGTTTCCTGTCCAGTGTCGCCACTTGCATGGGGTTGCAAAAAGATCCAACGGGTCGTCACCAGCACCCTAGCTGCAGAAACGGTTTCACTGAGCTCCGTTTTGGACCACCTGTCCTGGTTGCGTTTATGCTGGGCATGGATGCTAGATCCCGCCACCAACTGGAAACATCCGACAACCACGTTGAAATCCCTACCCGAAACATACACCACTGCAACTTACAAATCACAAAACTTACCTGACAGTGTTGCTGCGACAGACTGCAAATCATTGTTTGACTTGGTGACCCGGACAGCCACTCCAAATTGTGCAGAATATCGAACCCAATTGAATGCTAGAAGCATCAAGGATTTCTTATCCGAAGGTGTTCAACTTCGTTGGGTCCACTCAGGTGCTCAACTTGCTGACTGTCTTACCAAAGTTATGGAAACCTCGTTTTTACGTGAAACTTTGCGTTTGGGACGGTATCGACTCAATGATGAACTTGAAGTTTTGAAGAACCGAGCGACCAACCGCAACCGACTGAAATGGCTCAAAGGCTCCTGCGATCAAGAGTCCCATACCAATAGCTGCAACGACGAATGTTTTTTGTCGTTAAACATTGGATTTTTGGGAGTGTGAATCCAACGTCGTTGCATCACCAAATGGGTCATGATTGCATGTTCTCACACCAGTTCCGCAATTTCCCAAGTGACGGCCATCCAAAGCACATGGGCTCAGGGTTAGCCACGGTGAGGGTAGGGCGGGATTCCTTTCTTGCTTGAAAGCCATTTGGTTGGGACGCGGTCGTCCCCTATTTGCCGAGCCTGGCGCTCATCCAAAGACTTGTGGCCATTGGGCCTGAAAGGCAATCCTTTTGCCTCGGCGTGAAGCTCTGGCGACCTTTTGCGCGTGGTCCTGGAAAAAGGCGTGGCGCGCCTTGTGAGCAACTTGGAAGCTGCCAGTGCTGAGTAGGCCCTTTGCCACTCACAGTATATATATATATATATATGTATAATATTTTGGCTGAAGCAAACCGTCAGTGAAAATCTCTGACTAGAACCACCATATTGTATATATATATATACACACGTACAATACTTACAGTAAACCGGCACGGATCCATTGGTCGGGCTGGCAGGGTGCAATCTTCAGTGCATCCCAGGTCCAGATGGACATGGTCCCCCACTTTCGAGTCAGAAAGCAGAGGAAGACCGCAGAATTCCGGAACAATAGCCTTAGTAATATATGGTTAATATATATGGTTAATATATGGTTATTATATGGTTATTATATGGTTATTATACGGTTAATGATGGTTAATAATAATTGCTGGTTGGTGGTGCAACAACCATCTTGAAAAATATGAGTTCGTCAATGGGAAGGATGACATCCCATATATGAAATGGAAAATAAAAAATGTGTGAAAAAAACAACCAGACATACTTGAAGCATCTTGAAGCATTGGAAGTCACACAAAACTTAAATGTATCTTTGACGTAACATCTTGAGCCACAAGTGCCACAGTCGGTCAACAAGCCTGGGTCCTTTTAATGGAAAACCTAGGGGCCTGAAAAAATATGGGATATCGGGATATCACATGTCCAGACTCCCAGGGTAGTTACATGTTCTCAACATTCCGCGGGAAATTTTGGGCCAAACCATCACAGATGGTTAGCCGCAGCAGCAAGTTGCGCATCATCCAACGCCGGCCCCAGCCTGTTCGGGAGGTCGAAACTGTCTGCTGGAGCTTTGGTATTGTACCTGCTGGATTGGATCCATCATGATCCATCGACCGCAATCCACGTGGAGCAAAGTCATAGTGATTCATCCATGGTGCGCTCACAACCATGAACCATACACCATTTAAAGAAAACAACCTGACTTGTCCAGACTTCGGGGGCTAGAAAACAAAACCCCACAGAATCATTTGAAATTGTCTAAAGACAGGGTGCCTCAAAATTCCCCATGGTCTGGATGTATTGGAAGAATTCACCAGGAAAAGTTCGTCCATTGGGAAAGTTATACAAACACTTGCGTATACTACGCTTACTAACCATCATTTATCCTCTGGTAATCAAATTTGATTTGCTGGAAATTGACACCCATTTATAGATAATGATTCCAGCTAAAACCGCAATGTTATATGGCACCGGAGGGTATCATCATTTTGACCATTGCCCTCTGGCTAGCCATGGAACATGACCCGTTTATAGAGATGAATATGAATCAATGATAAACAAATGATGATTCACCTACCAAAAAGATATGGTTTATCGAACATACTATCCAGCATGATGGTTAGTATGGCACTATATTGGATCTATATGGCACTTATCTCATGAATAAAAAACAAACCTGGTCGAATCATCATCTTATCACCATTCTCCCCTCCATGAACCCCCGGGGCCTGGCTGGCGGCATGTACTCGTTCCTGACAGCTTGACGTGTCCAAGGGGCAACCCGCGCCACGCTCTGAGGTGGCCAAGCATTTTATAGGGATACAAGTGAAGGTTTCCCTAAGCCACAGGGGATCCCAAGTCACCATGGTTGTTTCAACACTAAGTCATGGTCATCCATGACTTGGATGAAAGCTGGGGGTGCCTCCATTTTAGGAAACCCAACGGGGAATAATGTATATATGATTATGTATGATATTCGATGGGGATACAACTGGGACATGTAGATTTTTAATGTCGATGATATTGGTTTAGTCCATTTGCAATGCCCCAAACTAAGATAGATACCCTCTGGTAATTTAACGTAGCTATTGAACATGGCCATAGAAATAGTGGAGATTTACCCATTAAAAATGGCGGATCTTTCCATAGTTTTTTGTATGTTTACCAGAGGGTAACCATCCAAATAATGGGATTAACATGGATTAACTATCAAAAAATGGTGGATTATCCTCTGGTAATCTAAGATAACCATCTAAGATAACCATCAAAAGAGCCCATTTTGAGATTGAACATTCCTCTTCCAAGCCCTATGAAAGTAGCCACGCGCGACTCCTGGGAGGGAGCCCCAGGTATCATCTCATCTAGATTTTTGTGCATAGCCATGATATCCCCATTCATATCATATTCTATTTTTTTTAATTACAATATGATTTTATACATTATATATATATGTATATGTATATGTATACATGTGTATATATATATTTGTACCTATATATATATATATTTTTATATATATATATATATATATCCAGTTATACCCCGTTATACCCCCAGTCAAATCATTCCATGGCTCACCTTCCCATCGGCGTCCTCATCCCAGGGTCCGCGGAAACCAAGGGCCTCCGCCAACTTTCGCCTCAGCGGCGCGCGGTATCGCTCGGCGCAATTAAAGACCTGGGGGACCACAGATTTTTCAGTGTAGTTTTAGTATATTAATCACTAATAATCGTTGATTAATCATGCAAAATCATCTAGTTTTAGTATAATTAATCACTAATAATCATTGATTAATCATCCAAAATCATCCAAACCGATCAAATATGTGACTTAAATCATCCAAGAATCAATGTTTTGACTTACCTGTACTTGTTACTAGTGGGAGCAAATATGACAGGCAGCCATCGCTTTTGCAGCCAAATATTGAGTTCCTGTAAAACTTACGTTCAACCGATTCTAGGATCGAAATCAGAAGAAAAAGAAGAACCTTGCAGTGCCCTTCCAACTAAGATACAGGAACCCAGGAAGGGATATACCATATTCACAGAATACGACCAGTATGACGTGTAAGTTAAAACCTTGATTTGTTACTATATTTGTATGATTTTGTATGGTTTGCAAAGTTCAATCTGAAGTGGTGTCCCCTTCGCTTCTGCGCCAGCCATGGCTGAGTTTGACCTTAAGCCACGCACGTTTCACCCACTGGATCCGACACAAAGTCCTCATGGCGGCTTCGCGGCTTCGTAGGATACACCTCCTGAATTTAAGACGAAAGTCCAAAAGCAGGGGCTGTGAGGTTGTTTTATCTTGTTTTCCAAAAATCTTAACCAACCATTAACCCACCATTAACCAACCATAAACCAATGCGAAGTCTTGGCTAACGAGAATCTCGGGACGGACCATTTCTAGACGGCCCCATGGCCTGGTGATTTCCCCCAGTCCCTGCGCCAGCCGCCTCGTAGCGGAGCAACACGAAGTCCTACAATGGCCGCGCGTTAGAGCGCGGAAGTAATATGTAGGACATATGCTAGTATATGGGGATGGGTCAAAACCCTATCCCCCTGGTGAACATCAAAATAGCTGGTAAATGGATGTTCATTCCCCTAAAAATGGTATTAATAGGTATTGATTCATAGCCATATCCTAATATGTAGGAATAATGAGTTATCCAACAATATGCTAGCTAAGTTACAATATGCTTTCCAGCAACATACAAATGATACAGAACGTATATTTGTAGAAATAGACTGCTACTATCACTTGCCGAGTTCAGATTTCCACAAGTTTCGGACAAACTCACTGATTGGTAAATTTGCCCATTCTTATCGGCCGCATATCTGCTTTGATATGATACTGGATCTGTCTGGATCGATTCCTCAGCTGAGCAGTGTTCAAAACCTTTGTCATTCCATTAGACTGGTTGATAGATAGGAATTCCCCTAATTGATTCTTATAATCACCAATATATATATAATACATATATATATATATACATCAATATTTGGGTACATAGTATAATATAGAACAATCATATATTCACTAACTATGATATACTTATTAGTATTTAATATATCCTCAACCAACCGGGCTTCTGACTCCTGCCGACGGCGAAGATATTCGTCCGCCACCAGAGCCCAGCGCTGGATCACAGCGTCCACGTAGCCAGAGTATCTGCGACGGATCGTCGCGGGAAAGGATGGGACGATGGTGACATCCTGGTTGTTACCCTCTGGTAATTTAACGTAGCTGTGGAAAGATCCACCATTCTTAATGGGAAAATCCACTATTTCTATGGTCATTTTCAATAGCTATGTTAATTTACCAGAGGTTAATGTTGCTTCATGTTGCTTCCATGCTGAAGGATCAAAAAAATGCATGTAATATATTGCTGGTTGGTGCTTTCAACCCCTCTGAAAAATATGAAAGTCTGTTGGGATGATTATTCCCAATATGTGGAAAAATAAACGCCATGTTCCAAACCACCAACCAGATTATAATATGGCAAGAATGATAATTAGAAAAAAACACAAGAAAGATTGCAAAACGGGCACGTCAACAGAATCCCTCAGAGTCGTGATCTCATGAAACCTTTGGCTCACAATGGTCTTAAACAATCCAGTCAAGTGAGGTGAAAACCATCCGGAGTCCTGGAGGCATTTTCGTGTTCTATCACCGGACTACTCAAGCAAATCTGTGGTATTGCATGGAACAGCATGGAACATCCGCTCATTCTGCTTGTTTGAAATCGAGTCTTCACATGTTTATCATGTTTTCCCATTTATTTCAACACACAGTAGCCGTCAGTAGCCATGTTGTGACATGCGCACCGTGGTAACGACCTTAATATTTTGAGTTTGTCAGTTTGTATAATTTCAGGATAAGCAAACCATTTGACCTACAGGTTGCGTGCTTAATCCGCTTGAACTGATAGTGCAAGCAGTGCAAGCCACCCAGAAAAACCATCATCTTGATCTGGCAGGCTGAAAGGGTGATCATGGATGGGAGCGGAAGTTCATACATGGCACTTACGAGTACTGTATATATCTGGATACATCTTCTTGACATCTTGCCATGGCTGCCTGCTGACTGGCGGTTGGAATGAAAATTCCTCACGATATCGCCATAGTGCGGCCATCATCACAAGTAGAACTGAAAACACCAACAGCATCTTTAGACTCTAAAGAAGTCTAATGTGGTTAAAACAATAATTAACCACCCATTTGGGAATGGGTTATACCAACGATAAAAATGGTGATGACTGGGGGATGGTTTATGATGTTTATGGCATTGTTTTACCCACATTAAACTTTTGAACCCAAGCAATAGCATGGCGGCATCGCTGTGGCATCACCCAAGTTGCATCCCAGCGGCCTCAGTCCATTCATCGCGGTGTCGAGGTAAGTTTGCTTCCCCGGTGTGAAGCGCCGAGGGAAACGCCCTGGAACCTCTGACGGAAAGGGGAACTATGAACTATGCCTGAAGTCAGTGAGGTGAAAGCTCCACGAAAAAATGGAAACCCAATGAATATCCACCAGACCTAGTTCTAGCATTTTGATTCATTTTGGGGGTTACATGGCTACGGAAATGGCTTGTGTCAATACATCCTTTCTTTGCAACTTATATATATATATATTACCAAACATCCCATTATCCCACAATCTTGGGGATCCGGTTCAAGAGGTCGATCTTGTTGTACGATCTGGGTGGAACTGCCTGATCCACTTGAATTTATACCCAACATCTTTACCGTGGTTCTGTCTGGGAAAAAAAATCTCCGTTGCAAGAATCATCAGCCATCTTTTATCAATGATATCAGCCATGATATCCCTCTAGTTTTGATGGTGAATCTTACAGAATAAATGATGGTTTCCCTCTAGTTTTGGTGGTGAAGCTGAAAAAAGTCCGGCTAAATCCCAACCGTGATGAACCAGGGTTTTTGAAGCCGCCCAAGATTTCAAGGCCGACAAACGCTTTGTACGCGGAGGTTTCGTAAAAGGGGGGTACCCCCAAATCATCCATTCTAAATAGGATTTTCCATTCTAAACACTGCATTCTTGGGATTCCCCATTTATGGAAGCCCAAAACTTGTGTGGCGCAATCAGGCAAAATAAACTAACTAGTAACTAGGTATGTATATTATAAATATGTATATATATATATATATATCAAAACGCAAGAGCTCCCCCAGGAGCATCGCACGGGCTCTGTTTTCCTCGCTTGACGGAAAGATCCCTGCGAACACATGCATTGGTAAAAGGACCTGGAGTGATGGCTGCTGGAATTCACACTGGTTATATTCTGTATTCGGTTTTTGTAAAGTGACTTTCCCAGTCACGCCAGTTGAAAGGGTAGCAGAGCAAAATGCTATTCCATCGGAAATGGCCAGGTCTTTGGGTTTCTCATGTCTCTATTTCTTGTACTGGCGCACCACAGACGATCCTGGGAAGCAAGTCTCGGAGAGGCCACTGATTGGAATCACTGAGTTGTAAACCTCAATGAACTTGGCGAGATCCTTGAGCTGAGCGGATGATGACTCACTCACATGTTCACGGATCCACTTGACATAGCCAGAATGGGCGATGTCCTTGCTCGTCACCAACTCCAGATAGCTTAACTCATGAGACTTCATTTTGCCAAAGGTGATGATGGTCTGTGCCCATTGGCGGCAAGACGGCACCTGGCTGGGCAGCTGTCCATGAGCTGATGCATCCATTTGATGCCACTGAGCCACCGTCACTGTCACTGACAAGCTTTCCATGGAGCTTGCGCCGGTCTTTCCAGACTTCGCTGCAGCGTCCGGCGGAGGAGACAGCTGACGCTTGCTGGCATCGGTCATGGCTCCCTGAGTGAGAGGATCCCAGGAGGCATCAGAATCACCATCCCCAATGATCGTGGGGGCTTTCACACCAGTAAGGAGCTCTTCAAGCACACCAGACTGCTGCGCTTTGAGCAACAGAAACTTCAGGCTTGACAACTCCGTTAAAGACAAAGTGCTAAGCGACATGAGCACTGTACACAAACTACTGTATCTTCAATGCAGAAAAATAAACGCAGGACTCGGGTTTGAGAGCTCGATAAAACGAATTCAAAACACAGGCTTACGCAAAATCTCACATCGTACCCAGCAATGTTTCTACCACGAGCATTTGCATCAGATGGAGAAAGGCGCGCTATCTGTGATTGTTTGCTTTTTACAAGGTCACAAAAACTCAAAACATGCAAAAACGGATGCAATGGTTCTGACATCTTGCAGTCACTATTTTTGGAGTTGTGGACTGTCAGCACCAACATCAGAAAACTGAGGTGTTCTACCCAAACGTCTTTGCTTTTCCATGGCTTGTCTATCCAAAACTTCTGACTCTGGAGAAATCTGATAACTGGAACTTCTCATGCATGAGCGCAACAAATCGACTGGGTCACCGGCATCTTTTGTTAGACTGTCGGCTAACATTCGGTCTGTAGGCACCCAACGAACATGCATAGAGGCATTACGGATGCTTTCTCTAATTATGGTAATATCAATGCTGGTTCTTCGATCCTCCACGGCAGTGGGGCTAGAGGGTGAAGCAAGATGGTCATACAACGATTTGCAATCGGTTACCAAAATTGGAGATCTTCGTTTCAACACATCACAGGCCTGCCTTACACTGAAAGGACCGTCCAAAAGTTCAGCAATGATAAGCATCAGCCATTCCACTGTACCAGATGCGATTGACATCGCTTGAGACTCGGCAGCTAATGTCGAGGATACTGCTCTGGCTAAGCGAAAGCTTTTCCAAACTGCAGGATTCCATTGGACCATTTGTCCATTGTTCAATGATTCATGTGCAAACGCTATAACGTAACCAGCTTGAGTGTGATTACCAACGTTAGCAAAAGCTGCATCAGAGTGACAAACTACTGTCAATGATTCAATCGGAATGGGTGAAAAAGTCAGAGAAAGATCGCTATGCTGTTTCGCACGTCGAACGATATTGCTGGCTTGTTTCAAGTGCTTCATCTTTGGGTTTGGAAAACTCTGTTGACTCAAGCTGGTCTGAGCTGCTAAATCAGGTCTGCCTTGGGATGACAGCCAATTCAGGCTACCATTGATTGCACGAAGTACTTTCACCTGATGAGGTTCCAAACATTTTTCTGAAGATGCACCTTTGGGGATAGAAGCTGGACGCAGGTTTTGTGCAAACGTTTTCATCGACATATGGATGGTGCCATCAGGTTCTTGTTTGTAAAAAGCACCACAAAACTCACCAGAGCTAGTTCTCCACTTTCTGAATGGAAACCTCTTGCGCAGGGCTTCGATGGAGGCGTCAAACTGAGGACCAGATCCACCTACCATGCAATCATCTACATGACATCCAAGCAAACCGATAAGACGATTGTCAGAATCTCTTAGATGATAGAGACACGCATCAAAAGCACTGGGTGTCCAACCAAGGGCTTTGAGCTCTCGGTCGAAGGTTTGGAACCAAGCTGCAGGGGCATCGTTCTGTCCATATAAATTTCCCACTATTTCGATGACGGCTTCACTATCTAAACCGGGAATGCCTCCGGGAGGATGGTGAGCATATAAAGGTCTAAAACGATCTTCAAGGGCATCAGCTTCCAGAAAAGCACCTTTGATGTCACCAAGTTGCATGACCCAACCCAGAGAAGACAGTAATTGAAGCAAGGCTACTCTACCTATTTGGCTCAACGTGGGAGATTTGAGACGGCCCTCCTCAGCTTTGACATCCAGATCAGGATCCAAATGACCCTGAAGGCACCACCTACCCTTGACCGTGAAGGTGTTAGGATCATTTGTGTCAATTGGCTTCTCTTCATCGACAGCTTTGCGGGTGAGCACAAACCGAGAACCAATAAAACGGTGGCCAAACTTTTCTTTAATCTCACGTGCCTTTTTGCCATAGTGCAAACGAACAACATTGCCTTTGTTCAACAAAGTCTGCCATTCATCTCTCTTACCAGCATCGACCTTGGCTTGCAGACTAGGGTGGTTGTTACTATGTGGCAACTCCTTCTGCATCTTCTTCTTAAGGTAGTCAGCTAATAGCACTTCCAGGTCAAGGTGGTCGCTGTTCAAACATTCCACTGAGAGAACCTCTGTGGCTGGTTCAGTTCGGGCTTTGGACACTGGTGGTTCCGGACAAGAATCAGAAGGCTCAGTTGCCTCTTCGTGCGCACGCTTGGATGATTCTGGCATGCTGGCATCAGGGGCAGTGGACATGTCAACTATGAGTTTTGGCACAACTTCCTTCATGAGATCGACAAAATCATCCTGCCGAAGAGCAGCGGGACGCCAAATGGATTGAGGACCATCTTTGCCGGACACTCGCCTACGCACTGGACCATAACTACTGGAACTAGCCTCAGAACCGACCTCATTGCCTGGAACCTTGGCATGTGGAGCTATATTTTCTTGAAAAGGTGGTGGCGTCTCGGGAGGCGACAAGATGGCCTGTGAATCCAACTGACTGGCATCTGGCTCTTCGGACTGCATGTTCGGCTCGATCGGCCTTTCAGCCGGCACTGCTGCAGACCCAGGCTTTGACTGTACACTCTCAAACGTTGGACCAGCGGGCACACTTGCTGCTCTGCTGGCCGGCTCCGGCGAGCTACACACTGGAGACTGTTCTGTCGGATATGACTGGGGCACCAAATCGAGATATTGTTGACTCTTGAAAGCACCACCTTCGATTAGGTCCTTGATTCCCAGTAGCTCAGCCTGTGGTGTACCTACCAAAGTCCTTTCTTCGCTCGTTGCAAAACGAACCTGCTCTGGAGCACAACGCAACACTTGCTTTCGATGAGCTAACACCAAATTTCTGCCAACATTTCCCAAGACAATTGCAGTGCCATACCAACGACCCTCATTTTGCAACTCTCCCTTGATCCACTTCTGAGAACGCCAATAGGCCACTAAGTCACCTGGTCGGAAATCCCGAAAGGTCCTGGGCCGGGCAGACAAAGCTCTGCGAAGGGAACGGTCATCCTGAAGATCCAGCACAGCATGTCGGGCAGTGGCTCGGATTCGCTGAGCATGCGCAATTGCTTCATCAGTTAATGACACTGTTCCAGGAATCACCTGCTGAGGCTCATCTAACAAGTTGGAGGGAACGTTTGGATTACGACCGAAAACAAACTGATGAGGTGTATGGCCATGGACATGAATCATGCTATTCTTGACATGGGCGGCAGTGACGCACTCCAACCATTCTGATTGACTGGATGGGCTATGTTGATCTATGATCTTCTGTAGGATGCGATTATACCAACCACCATGATTCTCAGTCTTTCCAAGTTGCCAGTGTGCATCAGCTGCGATTTGTCGAACCACGCAACCCTGTTCCTCAGCTGTACCTGTCATCGGATCTGCGAGGTTGGTCTGAGCAGGATCCAAGATAATCTCAGCTGGAATGCCAGCCCAGCTAATCCAATGTTCATCCAACAAACGACGCAACAGCTTTGATGTTTCGTTCTCAAAGAAAGGAATCATGCGTTGAAAACCGCTAGCTTGATCCACAACATTCAAAGCCTTAATCTTTTGATTTGTCTTCCAACCTTGCAAATACTTGACATCCACTCCAATTTGTTTGTTGAACTCACACACCCGATCCGCATTAGCAGGGAGAGGTGTCTTCGGCTTCTCTCTGCTTTGGCAAAAAGGGCAAGTGAATTTGCGAGCCAGGTTCAAAGCATGATCCGAGGCTTGTCCATGTTTCAACAAACGCACCATGTCAGCATTGGGTGGGTGACCTAAGTTCTTATGGAGCTTAGTCAAGGTTTGCATCATCTGGGCCTCGGATGGTTGCTCGCGAGTGATGGCACAAACTTCGGTAACATCATGCCATTGCTTTTCAGAAACATCATCGCAAGACAACGTCAGAACCTCTTGATCACGGAATCTGGGGACTGTCTCAAGCACGGCCTGTACAAACTTGGGCGGATACTGACCTGCAAAAGTGCTGACAGCTCCCACTTTCGGATGGCTGCCGGCTATGACATCGTGGCATGCATGCTGTGGATCAGAGGAACCAGGGCACAATCTACCAAGTGACATCATGTCTTCATGAGTTGACAACAGTTTAGTTGCTTTACGGATGAAGTGGTCACTTCCAGGTAAACGCATGTCATATTGGCACATGTGCAACTTGGTCACAAAGTATCGTCGGCACAAGGACTGGACTTCGGGATATTGCCACATCTGTGATGGAGCAGGGTGCTCAAACACGGCACGACCTCCCAAACTCACTTGTTGACGAAACAAATCACAGCAAAAACGAATGAAGGCTCTACTCTGAGCTTTCTTCCTGAGAAACTCCAAACGCTCCATACGAGTGGCGTTCAAATGAATCCAGCCACTTTCATTGGTGCAGGGTGGACACAACACTAACAGGTCAGGGGGAGAATGCCTAAGTTCTTCTTTCAAACGACTTCGGTTCTTGGGGCATGACAAATCAGTACCCAACTTAAGGTCGACTGACTTGGCAACAAAACCTCTGGCCTGTGCTGTGGGAGCAAAACGCGGTGGTGAAAAAACCTCAACCACCAATGGTCGCTCATGTGTCGCTGGCTCTACTGCTGCGGCAGCCTTAATTTGCGATGTTAACTGTCGCATTTGATGGCTAGTGAGATTCCAGGCATTATGCTCAGTCAAGTCGGAAGGACATTCCAGGTCTACAGGGAGACGCAGATGAAATCTCGTGACAACATGACTAACATCTGAAGGCACATCTCGAAGCAGCAGTTTTCGGGGTTTCTTCGGATCAACTGATTCAGAGTACAAAACCTTGTTAGAATCTTTATCAACCACGACCCTCTTGAACACATACTGCCAAAACTTTGAATCGTGAACTGCTAAGGAAACTGGTGTTTTTGTCAACCCAAAGTCCTCTCGGCACTGGATCACCACATGATGCGGAGTTGAGGAGCTTGAGAGGCAGGGCTGATCTCCAGGGGCTTCAGCAATGTCTGGTGAAGGATCCTCAGAGGGCAGTTCGGCAGTGTCTTCATTTGAATCAGATGATGAAGATATCAACACCTCTGTACCGGGCTTGGATTCAGTTGGATTCTTCATCACATTCAGCACATATTGACTGGCAGCATTGGTGGTCAGGGGGATCTTCATCTTATCATCAAACACTACCAGTTGGTCATTCGCAAAGTCAATCTTGGCTTGAAGAGCTCGAAGCGCTGGACGAGACACAAGGAGGGGAGCAGACCCCTTCACAATTGCGGCCTTGAGAATACCACGTCTTTCACCAATGAAAATAGGCATACTGATGCAGTGTTGAGAAACTTCATGCTGTCCATTTCCAAACTTGAAGTGGTTAATCTCAGGTTCCCTTGAGGGGATCTTCATACCTTGTGCACACCACAGTTGCTGGAATTGTTCGAGCGTATCTTCACCAATAATTGTTTTGCCACATCCAGAGTCCAAAACTCCAAAACCCGGTGAAGAGACCAAAAGGGTCTCGTGCATGACATTCAGCTGGGGCAGAGGCGCATCACTTTGTCGTCCTATCACCAGTGAACGAAGCCGGTCCAAAAGTGAGTCACATCTGGCCACTGCTGCAACAAAGTGGACCTCCGGTTCTGACACACTCTGGACATATGCTGCACCTGATGCATTCGGCTTTGCACTGCTCTTTGCACCAGTGGTTGTTGTCGAGGAGCTGGACTGTGTTCCGCCTTTGGACGGACACTCTCGGGCCCAATGACCCTGTTTCTGACATTTGTGGCAGCGAGACTTGCGCTTAATCTCTTCCACCTCCACTCTGAATTGACGCTTCAGCTCCTTCACCTGCTGAAACTTTCGGGCCTTCTGCAGTCGGTTGATCTCGGCACGTTTCTCTTTCCAAGTAACGGCGAGGCATTCGGCTACATCATCCTCATGGAAGCTCTCGTCCGTTGTGGACGGAAAGGCATCAGCATGGTGACCATGTTCGGTCAGGAACTGTTCAATGTCCTGAAATTCGATCTCAGGGTCTGCATTTGCGCCAGGTGACCCGCCGCCTTCATCATCCACCACATGAGCTGCGGCTGAGCGACGGGTACCCAAAACCATCTCTGGATAGCAGCTTCGCAAAGCTCGCCCGATCTCCTCTCTCTGGAGTTTGCCATGGGCACGGGCCAACACAACGGCCTTCTGTTCCTCGGTGAGGCCGCATCGGTTGAGCAACAACCATCCACGAGCCTCTTCCGGCAGGTTGACGCCGGTTTTTCTGCTCAGGCGGTCAAACAGCTCGGAAGCTCGGCCAATCCAGCCTTTGACGGTCTCGTTGTTCTGAACCTTGAGACCAAAGACTTCTGTAAGCATCTCACCTAGCTCATCGGTCTTGTCCTTCTCTGGAAAACGCTTGTCAAGCAAATCCAGCAACACAGTGTCACCTCCTTCCTTCTGGTAAGAGGTGGGATCCAGGTGTTCCACACACTCCAAGGCCTTTCCGGTCAGGAGCGTGTAGATGTAAGGGCCAGCTGCTGCTGTTGGAAGCTTGTCCAAGGTGATGATTTTGTTTTTCACCCAGGTACGCCATCTCTTGTACTCCTGGGCATCTTCATTGTCTCCTGAGAAATATCTCAGGGACCCTGCGCTTTCACCAGCCGATGCCATGGCTGCTGTCTGGGCCTACACCGCGAGGCCAAAAGACTCCCTATTCTAACTGCGGGAGCCGGGGTGTTCCCGGCTCCGCTACCAATCAAAACGCAAGAGCTCCCCCAGGAGCATCGCACGGGCTCTGTTTTCCTCGCTTGACGGAAAGATCCCTGCGAACACATGCATTGGTAAAAGGACCTGGAGTGATGGCTGCTGGAATTCACATATATATATATATATATACAACATACGTGTTTTTGTATGTATTGTACAATATTATATATATATATATAAAATTATATATACATAGTTTACAAATTTCGCGTGAAACCAGTATTCCTCAGCCGACTATTCCTCCAACCCGGCTGCACCCCCAGCACCCACAAGAAGTGCTGCTCGGCGAAAGCCACATGTGGATCAAGGTCTGCAATGCAGCAGTCCAAGCGTCAAGTTTTCGGTCCCAATGGGTCAACCAGGCCGCTTTCAGGTTGATTTTTAAAAAAATGGGCCCAGAAAATTCATTTACCCCAGTAACTAGTTGGTTATAAATACCATAAACCATAGTTATTGGAGATATAAACCATGGTTTAAAATGGGGGCTACCCAGAACCATTGGTTCAATCATTGCCCCAAGATTTTCGACTGGCCAATGGTTTGGTCAAGACCAGCGGTTTCAGATTGATTCAACATGATTCAACTGTATTTCAGCGGCCCACATGTAATATGATGTACAGAAATTCTGTTCAACCATCTTAATCTGCCAAAATGAAACCAATATCGTGTGTCAAAACATTCAATTCACTCAATTACGATCATCGGTGGCGGTAATGAATAATATACAAGATGTTTGGAATCACCAAATAGAAGATGTCACCAACGAAAATACGGATTTGGCCAACAAAAATGGGGACGTTAATAAGAAATGCGTATCTGCGTATTTCACCAACGCTGGGGTCTAACCAATCACAGCCCACCAAAATCGCTTGAAATAGTGGGTGGCTCAATAAAAGTACAGGCCCCAAGAACTGTAGCGTTTGGAACCATTCCTTATGGTTGTTAGCCATGGCCATCTCAGTACAGTCTCGTATATGTATGCGCGTAGCAAATCCCAGCTCCTAGCTTTCCATGAACTTCCGTGTCCAGAATTCAGGTGCTTTGGGCATCGCTTTGTGGTCAAAACATAGAATAATTTTCTGCAATTCGCGAATGATAAGGATATGGCCCAGAGAAGTGATCCTATCTATTGAGGGGGACATTCCTTACAGGGACACTCCTAGAATTTTCCTTTTCATTCATTTCAATTCCAAATAATTCAATTTCATTCCGAATAATTCAATTTCATTCCTAATAACTATTTTTCATTCCAACTATTACTTTTCATTAATACTGTTTTGATTATTTTCACAAATAATTTAAAAACTGTTTGAAAATTGGTGATATTTTTTGATTTTTGTTTATTGTTTTTTCTTAACTGAACTTGTTTTCGAACTTTTTGGATTTTTTGGAACTTGTTGGATTTGTTCAGATGGTTGGGATTTTGATTTGTTTGGATTGTTCTTTTAGTTTTTGTGTTGGATGTTTTTAGTGTTTTTGGGGAGACTTTGAGATTTTTTTGGAATTTGTGAGATGTTTTGTTTTTTTAATTTTGTTTGAAAGGATAGCAACTTTTCGGAGTAGCCCTGTTAGGAGTAGCCCAGGGCTCTTTAATGAAGTGAGGTTCTAGACCATTGCTTACTTGAGAGTGAAAACACAAATCAACTGGGACATGAGGACCAATAAGCCCAGCAAATGGAAATGAGAGCTGCTGCCGGGTAAATCATCGATAAAGTGGACTGGCGTATTGCTGGCGAAGCTGGTGCAGTCTCGTTCCAGAGGGTGAAGCAGTGAGAGGACAGCAACCACCATCACCAGCCTAGCGAGAAATCACCCAGCTGGGGTCCCTGACCCAAATGCGCCAGGAAGGACATGGCAAAATCCAAAGGGTGTCTCACCTCAACCCGGCCAATGGCCATGGTGGAACAGTGGAACCAGGGATTGCATCACCACCAGGGTCCCGCGGCCACAAAGTAGAGCTTCAAGGCAAGTCCATGCCTGCTAAAGGCCTTGCCGTCCCAGGAGGTGAAGGGAAAAGGCGTAGCAAAAAAAACCATGAAAATGATAGATATCCATAGATATCCTGGGTATCCTGGGTATCCTGGGAAACCTGCCACCAGAAAACCCAGTTCTAAACCTTGAAAAACTGACTTTGGAAGTCCAGTTCCGTCACCGATCTCCCCAGCTGAGCTGGGAGTCCCAAACGGGCCAAGCACTAGCCAATCTCGACGCCAAGGGGGTCAGCAGAACATCTTTCGACACCTCCCAGCCTCGAATATCGTTGGAGGAGCTCGAGCCCACTCATATCCCAAGCTAGAGGGAACAGCAGGGAAGCACTACTTAGTGATCACTTTTTTTCTGTTTTCGCTTATAACATGTTATAATCCTATAGTTACACTAGATGTTGCCAGTGCTCAAGCACATTGACCTACTTACATTTACTTACCACACTTACAACAACAGCTTAAGAACGCACAACCGCCAAGTAGGAACCACCAAGATCTGTTTCCTGATAGTTCAGACACCGGATTTTTTTGTGGATTTCCGGCAGCTGTTGGCCTGTCCTGAAATTGTTGGCCACATCCAGGGCATTCTGACATTTCACTCAAACATCCCAGATATCCTAGTCCTAGTTGTATTCGTAGCTACACACCTTGATTTCTCATAGTTTCTCTTCCTGGTTGCTGCGGCTGATGATCTCTTGAAAATTGTGAGATTGGTCATGGAACACCTTCGAAACCACAATCCAAATCACTGCTTGTCCGTTTGCCATCATTTACCCCTACCAGTATTCTTGCAAACGATATTTCCCCCCCAAAAAAATGCTTGATAAGTCTAGACCCCAAGTAGTTGATGGTATGATAATATAGATGATATATGGATAATATGGAAATCTATAAATGATATGGATAATATTCGAAAGCACCAACGACAACCGAAACTTTGCGTTGGATTTTCGTGGCTGAGATTGGCGTCTGAGCTTCCCCGCGGAACAAATCTTCATGGCACTCATGGAGGACCAACTCCAAAGGAGCTTCCTAGGCTTCCGAACTGGGAATCAACAGCTGCCTTGCAAGGTACATGCCATTCCGATCCGCTATTACAGATTATTACACATATATATATAGTGCTGATATAGATGTATACCAAGTTTATATACATGTGTATATATCAAATGTTATCAAATATAAATACATTACATTACCTGACATTACTATACATTACATTACATTGCACTACGTTACATTTTGTTACATCACATTACATTACATGACATTACATGACACTACATGACACTACACTACATTACACATATTTAACAGAATATATTATACACATAATCAATGAGACACATCTCGCTGGAACTTGGGTCTCTGACCCTTCTCTCGATGCTCAGCAAGGGCACCTGGATTCATATGGTCAAATCTGGTGCCCATAGTTGCCGGAATGTACATCAACATTTACCCTGGAAGTTTTCCCTACTGGAACTCCGTATATCAATGAAAATGCTGATGGGAGAAAGTTACCAAAAAGAATGTTTTGCTCCATGTAACTCCGCACGATCCCTGTCAGATGTCTCAACAACAGCGGTTTTAATTGCATCAACTCTTATTATAGTTACTATGGGGGGAACATCATACGGTATACATTTACATGTTAGATCTCACCGGCTTGTTGGATCCTTTCCCCATGTAACTCCGATCATTCTTGCGGCGAGCATTTGATTTCAAACATTCAGGCCCATCAATGTTTCAGAAGCTCTCATATAAACAAACTGGTTCCCCACCTGTCTGGTGAGGGTTGTTAGATTATCCTAATTTCAACCTTTTCCGCAACATTTTCAACCTCATCCTCACCATCATCATCCACATTATCATACATTATCCTCCCACTCCCCCAGACTGTTTGGGGTCTCTTGCCGGGATATTTTTTTTACATGGTATTGATCCGTGTTTTTTTTCCTCATTTATGTGGTGTTCGTCCTTTTTCTTCATTGTTCCATTTCTCATGTGTTCATCATTGTTTTCATCCAAGTTTCACAGCAACCATTCTCACTAGGGATTTGCATCATATGGCTAGCAAAAAGCCATGAATTTGAAATGGAACATGCTTTTCTCCCAACGGCAACGCATGTCGATGCGCTTTCCTCAATTACCTTCCCCAATTACCTTCGATGTATGCATCTAATCGATGCGCTTTCCAGCGCTTACAGTATCCAACAGTTTTGTCGGACAATTCAGGGAAAAAACACAAAATCCAATGGAACATCAATGGATCATCATCTTCTCGTTTAAATCATAACTTAAGGACCGACGTCTCCCGAGTGTCTTCGATTCTGACCGAGATTATACCCTGATTTGTGTGTCCAAACATGGGGGCGAAAGAACCCGCAATATGGACAAGCAGTAGGGATAACGTTGGAGATAAGCACTGAATAACCAACACAATGGGGTATAAAGCCGCCATGATGATCCATAGTGAAGATGTAATAGGGATAAAGGTGGACATAACCAACAATATGTGTCTGATACACATAAAAATGGCGATTGACGGACAGCAACCATAGTTAGTAAATAGGATTTTGTTGTTATGTTTGCCATCTTTCTTTGCAAAGTATTCCGACAAACCATTTGCCGGTCCCCAAAGGATGAATATTTGGGGTATCAGCATCAGCATCCCACCCTGTTGCTTCGGCCGCTGTTTTAGGAGATGTGTTGATGTGCCAAATATCCTGTGCTGTATGCCATCTTGGCACAACTCTTCACACAGGCTTCAAAGACCTACATGTTGATGTATTGTGTATTGGTCCTTCCGCTCGTGACGCCAACAATTTTTTTTGCTGGACCTCAAGCGGAAACCAAGTTGTTTTTATAGTTTTTTTCAAAATATCGCCGCTCTTCAGCGTTTTGTTCTAAGGTGGTTCATGTTATGTGGCAAAAAAGCAAAGAGCCGACCAACCAAGCCTCTGGATCCAATCAATGGACCCATATTTTGGGTAACTGATCTGCTCAAACAGCACTGCTTCCGAAAGTCTCGCCAGGTGTTGCCCTTACCAGACCTGACGCCTCGCTATGCCTGTGGGCCTACATGGCCTACATTTAAACCACTGATTTGAGGCATTTCTTATAGGGATCCGTCAGATTTTGCCGTTTGACCCACAGCCACATTCTCAACATTTCTCAACTACATTTGTGTTATATAATTACCCATGCCCATATATGCCCATAGGATCCATGTATGATATATATATATATGCTAACATTGGGGCTATATTGATGGGATCCATGTTACCATATATAGCATACATGGATCCTATGGGATGTTGAAGATAGAAGCATGTTCCATGTTAGATGATTCGATGATTTCCCTACAAAAGTCATTGCAAAACTCTGCAGATTTGGCGGCAAAACTCCGAGATGCCTTTTGTCGTGTTCTGTCGTCGCTACCCTGTGGATCCCAGGATGTGCAATTGTGCGGATAAACTTACCCATGACGGATCCATGGTGCTGCTATATATATATGGTGTGCCATGGATCCCATCAATATACCCCCTTTATGTTAGCATATATACCAGCACCATGGATCCTATGGGTAATTCAGCAGCATGTGTAGACTTTCGACTACTGCTAGGTTCGATTAAAAGCCAAACAACCGAATACCACATGGTGAAATGGATTCCGCTCTCTACATGGACATTCAATATCTATATTCAATTCTCCTCTGCCGAAACATGCACTTCACTTCAGCAACGTCAGGAAATTGTCTCTGAACTGCTCCTTCTGGAAGCAACGCTTTGCATGGCCCGTTCCCACTCGGGGAGGATGTCACAGCCCAAATTGCCGACCAATAGCACTTGACAGTCTTGGCGGTACTCTAACCAGCCGTATGGATCAGAAATGAAACATCCAACACATAAGATACTTTGGTCATTGAATTTCAAACGACTCGCCCTGATGCTTCTGACTCTCATTTATTATTGGGCATGACCTATAATAAGTTGGAGCCATGATCCTGCTCTCCATGGCATAGCTTCTTTGCTCCATTTGGATCCGTAATTCATAGGGATCATGACTTTTGAAAACCATATGGATCGTGGGGTTCCGTCATGACTTTAGAGAAAGCCTCTGTTGATCAACGGTATTACCGCGTTACTTCCATATCTTTGATGGTAAATAGCCATATAAATGATGCTTGAATAAACACACACTCACACAACTTTGCGTCACTAGCCCCAAAACTCAGACGTCTTGGTCAGCGCAATCTGAGGATGTGAAAAAGAGGTGCACCGCACTGGTGACTCCGAAGCTGTCAGGCTGACAACGGTCAGTCGCACCTGTTGGTTATGTCAAACCCCGGTGTGGCTCCCGACCAAACGACCCACAAGTTTAGCTCTGGCGAATATATACCATATATTATCATATATGGTTTTGCCTGAAATGATGAATGTGTTATTCCATGGTCTACTCTGGGATGGGTGATGTTTATACATATATATATATACATATATATATATACATATGCATATTATAATATATATATATGCAATTATCATATCATGTTTATATACACATTGTACATTGCTCTGACTTTTCTGGCCGCCGCACAAATCAGCGGAAGAGTCCTGGGCTGACGCTCGCTCTCCACCGTTTCCGAGTTTCGTCAGAATTCATGGTGGAACCAAAACAGAAACGGGGAAAACTCCTGGGAGTTACCCTCTGGTTATGACTAACAATTCGCCATGGTATAGATGGCCCATAGAAATAGATGGCTTACCGAACTTAAACATGGTGGATCTCTTCATATAACCAGATGGTATCATGAGTTATCTCGCTGATGAGAGCTAAGTTGGTGAGTTGGTGCAGGCTGAACTCCAATCACCATGCTTCAAAAAGGGGGAGATATCGAACTGCTGGGGTTTATAAACCACCTTGTTGTAGTCCGGTGTCAGACGTGGCTAGGAAATCCTCAGACGATCTTCCGGAGAGCCATGTTTGATTGCCGGTTACTGTAAACTCAATAGTAAACCATGCAATTAACGAAGCATTTGAGGGTGATTTTACAACATCCCAAATAGGGGCATGCCCAATAATAAACCAGAATCGGGAATGGTTTATCATTGGGTTTACCACATTAGTTGATATTTAGTTTGAACTCTGTCTGGATACAAAGATTTCTCTTCGATATCCTCAAATGGTGGTACTGCATTTGATTCATCAATCACAAACTACTCCAAACCTGAAAGTAGATGATTTCAGATCGTGATAACATGGTGTTTGATGGTTCCCCGTCTTTCCCCAATATCTTCTGTATCCAAATGTATGGATATGTGTGGATCATTTCAAGTTTCTGATGCCTGATGATGCGAAAAAAAAAGTCGGGATAGATACACATACTGTCACGTACGTATATATATATAATTATATACAATTATCTGCCCATATTGTGGATGTGAAGCCCAAAACTGAACTAAAATGTGAGATGTTGTGACAGCAGAATTGATTAAAGGGTCGCTTTCTGCAAGGACCATCCCAGCTGTTCAGCACAGTGCGGCACCATGATTGCGACAACTGGCTGGACTTAGGTATAATTTCCAATATAGTATCTAAATGAGCTACATGATCATGAATGCAGATATTGTTATCCATCCAATAGCACGCAATAGTATATAATCCTTTTTTTGATGTCCAAAATAGATGTATGTATCTATATATAAGTTCTACATGAATAGCTTACGTCTGATGTCTAGTATAATTAAAAATCAATGGGAATTCCAGGATCCTAAAATGGAGGTACTGTACCATATAAGGCCATATTTTGGGTGTATATTCCCTTACATAGGCCTTATATATGGTATAGGCACCTCCATTTTAGGATCCTGAAATGGCCATTGAAACCATGTATAGTATATTTACCAACATTTACCCCATAAATGACCCAGTTTTGTAGGTAAATATACCAGCACCATGCGGACAAAGGCGTCGTTGAAGCTTTGCCAGTTTTCCATCCGTGTGGTCGGGCAAAGGAGGCGAATGGCCTCGGGAAAACAGGGAAACCCTGTTTTAAAGGGCGCCCGAACAAGTTGGTGCAAAGAACTAGATACCATCATTCTGATGTTTGGTGGATATATCTTTTAATAATTTAGTTCTTGGGTTATGACATGAATGCCTAAAACCAGCGGTTTTAGTTAAGTGAGGGGGGCCCCCATCTGCAAGATTTCGTGGTGTTGGACATGATTCTCCCCATGAAAAGCTGCTCAGATCTGCAGAACCTCTATCTATGTGGGACCCGCAATAGATCTCATGTTTTTCAGGAAGTCTTCCGCGTTGAGATCTATTTATCTTTCTTTCTATCTACTGTATCTACTGTATCTACTGTATCTACTGTATCTACTGTATCTACTGTATCTACTGTATCTACTGTATCTACTGTATCTACTGTATCTATCTATCCATCCATCAATCTATCTATCTACTGTATCTATCTTATCTTATCTTATCCTATCCTATCCTATCCATCCATCTACTGTATCTATCTTCTCTTATCTTATCTTATCCTATCCTATCCTGTCCTATCCATCCATCCATCCATCTATATATCTATCTATCTATATGTACATACATGTGTATGTATCATAGATTTGTAAATACAATATATATATATATGTACTGTATATATAACTTCAGAAGATGGGCCTTCCAAAAGAGGATATGTCTTCTGTCCCAGGCTGAGGCCCATCTGGACGATAGACATCGGCCCATCTGTTTCCGTCCATGGCCAAGTGACTGTAGGTTTCGAGCTCAAAGAACTCAGGTCCATCGATTTCCGCATCGCCATTCAAATCCTCATTCGATAATTCGATAATCGTCCAACCATCAGGGAAACAAACCCAAAATCACAACGTTCATATACTTTGAAAATGGTGATTTATAGTGGATTTACCCATTAAAAATGGTGATTTTCCATAGCCATGTTAATTGACCAGGGTGCGTCTATTTCTAACAAACAACCCATCATGCATCTCTGGGCCGGTTTCAAAGAAGTGGACCGCCACATCTCAAACCTGGGATATCGCGATCAAATGGTTTATCGTGTGTTAATAGATGATGCATGATGATCTACCTATTAAAAAAATAGGCTTTTCCAGTTTGCTATGTTAAATATCCTGATTTTTTTTTTAATAAACCATCCAATTTGGGGTACCCCAAGTTTGAAGCATGCCCAGTGCAGCTACCACTGGCAAGGCTTCCCAAAGCTCCAAAGAGATGTCGCGACTTCCGCAGAAACTTCTGCAGCAGTTGGCCGATTGGGATTCCCATGAAACATTGTAAATGATTAATGATGTCAAAATTATATATATATATAATTATATGTATATATGTATAATTATATATATACGTATATTTATTATAGGATAAACCAGTCGGAATCCTAATAGGCATCCCATTCCCATAATAATCCCATTGTAAACACCAGTGGGGATTCCTACTAGAAAAAACACATCTACCAACTGGAGTCCAGCAGCAATGAACATAAAGATCTCTTGCACTGGGCCATCAAAGTGCGTGGCTTCAACACCTCAAGTGTGAAACAGCTTCAACACCTCAAGTGTGAAACACGGTCAGGTGTGTCCATGCTCCATTCGGCCAGCTTGATTTTTTTTAGGGAAAAAGAAACCTGTGGTAGTTGATGCTACTCGGACTCGTTCATAAGGGCATTGATGAATTTGGGAGCATCCTGAGTTTACATCGAAACCCACTATGAGTGTTTACATATTACTTTTTTCCCACTATTTCCATCAACATCATTGGATATCACGACTGCTGGCTTCCCCCAATTTCGCCAATTTCAGTCATGTTGGATTATGCCCTTGGCATTCTTGAAACACGAGAGTTTCGGTACCTTGTTTTAGTACATGAACCATCCAGTTTTGAGAACCCCACTTGACCCCCTTGAACCAAGGCTTGCGCAAGGTGCCCATTACATCAGGCCAATGATTTTTTCTAGATGAAGAGTAGGGGAAAACGATCATTTCGCTTTGTCCGAGATGAGGTACCCAGAACCTTTGATGGCTTGAGACTTCAGTTTGCACCCTTAAGACAAGGTATAATTCAGGTCTGGACGATTCCATATCACCTATAGGTTGTTTGTATGATTATCTGGTTGGTGGTTTCAACCTACCCCTCTGAAAAATATGAGTTCGTCAGTTGGGATGATGACATTCCCAACTGAATGGAAAAATAATTCAAATGTTCCAAACCACCAACCAGCTATGATATATTCCAATATATTTGCAGACTATATCCCCATAAAATTAGTGTCTCTATTGCACTTCCACTCACTCTCCCTTAAAAAGTTGTTGTTTGGGAAATTCCAAGGCTGGGCCAAACTCAAGGCGGTCCAGCCACACTTCTTGAACTCTTCGAAAGAAATGGCACCGCTCTCGTCTAAATCAATGGCTTCGAAGGCATTCTGCAGCGAGCCTGGTTTTTTTTTGGGTTGGAGATCTTGGATGGCCAACAAAAAAAAACAATGGATCATCGGATACCATACCCTCTGGTAAACATACAAAAAGCTATTGAAAATGGCCCAGTCGAAACAGTGGATTTTCCCATTGAACATGGTGGATCTTTCCATAGTTTTTTGTAAACGTTTACCAGAGGGTACCATCTCGCTATTTAACATAGCCATGGAAAATCAATTCTTAATACGTAAACCATCTATAAATGGGTCATTTCCCATGGCTACGTTAAAATAGCCAGAGGGTAGGTAGAAATTATACCCATCGAACTGTTCCATGGTTTATTTTTCCAGCAACGATTTTTACCTATTCCATCTCCAGAGGTCGCCACAAAAATTCACCACCAAGGTGACCCTTGGTAAAAACCCATGGCTTCTCTCAAAGCATATCCCAAATTCGTGGCTGAAACAAGAGCTTAAAACATATTTCGCCACCACTTGAGACTGGTTTCAAGGAAACCCCATAAATTTCCCCTTAAATGGTGGAATATCAAAATGTGTTCCTCACGGGCTTAGCACCTTGAACCTTGGATCATTGGACCAAAATCATGGGCGTCTCCTAAATTGGGGAGCGCCGAAAGCAATAGAATTGAACATGCTCAAACAGGAACCGCATGGTTTCACAAATGAAAGAAACCCTCAAATTGAACGTCTTAGTGATCTGAACATGATCAATCTTTGGTAGTCCACAAAAAAACAATCGTTTGCTGGTTGTGGTTATTTTCCATTTACTGCCAAAAACTAGAGGATTATGAGCATTTGTGTATTCATTGACACCACACTGCTACATCGATCTTCCCGCTGCTTGACAGGCTGCCATAATAGACTTCGAGATCACGTTTCAACCTTGGATCTGTGTACCACTTCTGGATCATGCGATCAATCATTTAGAAAATTCACATGGATGTTGATGTGATCACAGTAGATGTTCCCATTTTAATGTCATCAATGATGGTCCTTTGGTGTGTGCAACATACATGTACCATAATCTACCTGCATCTCCTTACTGTTGGATCTTTAAGCGTCAAGAAATCAAGGGCCGGGCCTCCTCACCATCGAAAAATAAAATGGATGATTTGGGGGTAGCATTTTTTAAAAAATCACATAGTTACCATGTAGACATTGCAAGAATCATACCATGTCTGAGAATCGTCCGTCGCCTTAGCGAGCAAAACAATCTCCAAGCGAGTTTCAGGACACCCCCGGAAAAAAAAGGCATTGGCTGCGAATCACATCTTCCCCATCCAAGTTTTGTCTTTTTGGGCACCCATTTACTGGGCCATATTTGAAAAAACCGCTAGATACTTTTCATCTGACTACTCAGGGGGTTGGAAGTACTACTATCAGGAAGGAACTGCGCCATGATTTCTGACATTGACATCCCAATACCATCTGGTTATTTCACATAGCCATGGAAACCATGGCCCATAGAAATAGATGCTTTACCCATTAATAGCATGGTGGATCTTTCCATGGCAAACTGTTAGTCATAAACAGATGGTACCCTCTGGTATATTAACATAGACCCTGGCAGATAGGGGTTGGAAGACTAGTTTCATTAAACATTAGTGATTTTCAGGGTCTATGTTAATTTACCAGGGGGTATCTCCAGAAAGTGATGAAAAAAAACCCATTTCCCAGTCACTCTATGTCGCTCTTGTCACCATTGGATTGGTTCACCAGCTACCCCAGCTACCAGCGGATTCCCGCGACGTGAGGTCGTGATCAAATTGACCCAGAAATATGGTGCAGTTATGGCCCTTTACCACTTATAAGTCAGTAAGTCACCCTGTCTATATGGAATGATAACCCCGTTTATAAACATCATAATGGCATAAATCAGGGCTTTAATCCCATTTGAAGTTACCACAAAACACCATATTTTCATGGTAAATTAAAATAATTCACTAACCTGAAAAGTTCGGCCATTTGGGGATGATTTCCCTTATTTGCCATGATTCCAGGGCTCGGTCGCAGTGAGGTCGTGATGAAAGTTACCCAGATATTTTGGTATATTTTGGTTGGTTCAACAGTTCAACCCACATTCAAAACACTTTTGATGGTTACCATTATTAACCATTATTAACCATTATTAACCATTATTAACCATTTTTAATCATCATTAATCATCATTAACCATTAACCATCATTATCCCATTATTAAATATCATATATACCAATATCATATATCATATATACATCCATATATATATATTTATATACCCAGATATAATTGACCCATCCCCCGGGTCCAAGGGGCTCAAACATCGACTGCTGCAGTTCCCGCCAGACCCGCTCCAAGGTCTCGAACTCTCGGGCCGAGATATCACCGTCGTGGGAGGTATCCAGGTAGCGGAACACACCTGGGCAGTGCGGAGTCCCGTGATATATATATATATATATATATATGTATATACACATACATATACATATACATATATATATATATATACATATTATATAAACATATTATATATACATATTATATTTACATATTATATATACATATTATATATACATATTATATATACATATTATATATACATATTATATATACATATTATATATACATATTATATATACATATTATATATACATATTATATATACATATTGTATATACATATTATATATATTATATATACATATTATATATACATATTATATATACATATTATATATACATATTATATATACATAATATATATATATACATATTATATATATACATATTATATATATATACATATTATATATACATATTGTATATACATATTATATATACATATTATAAATATTATATATATACACATATTATATATATATATACATATTATATATACATATTGTATATACATATTATATATACATATTATATATACATATTATATATACATATTGTATATACATATTATATATATTATATATACACATTATATATACACATTATACATATTATATATACATATCATATATACATATTGTAAATACATATTGTATAGACATATTATATATACATATTATATATACATATTATATATACATATTATATATACATATTATATATACATATTGTATATACATATTATATATATACATATTATATATACATATTATATATGTGCATGATATATAACATATGCGATATATATATATGTATCATCGATGTATATGCATATATCTATATATGTATATACACATACATATACATATACATATATATATATATATATACATACATACATATACATTATATACACATATAATATATATATATATACATATATCACATAATATATATATATATATCACATAGTATATATATATATCACATATGATATATATATATATATATGAATGTATATATGTACATATGTTGCATATATTATATAGTATTCACCGATGCCTTTCAACTGAAACATATCCCCTATCTTGGAAAACAACAGACAAACTCACAATATCTCACAATCTTGGCATTTTCTGCCATGACCAACAGCATGCGGTTTTCTGTAGGGCATTGGTAGCTCCAATCCAGATTTCCTCTGACCCATGGCCAATCCAAATTGATACCCATTTTCATAAAGGGTTCATTTAGTAAAATAACCCACATGTTGATTCCTAAAATGCCGTCTTTCTTGCTCAGACTCTGTATTTTGTTCCATGGTTGAACATTTTACAAATCTTCATTTGAAAAAAATACGCCAAATCAAAAACATTAAAACAACTTTGAAATCAAACGCCTTGATGATTGCATCGCAGATTTTAATCAGAATCACAAATCAACCCCACCTCAAGAAACAAAAACGCTAAGGAACTGGAAATCACTTCCACCTGTGCTGCGTCCGTCTCATCATCGGGCACGTCGCTGCGCATCATGGGCTTCGCAATGGCACCTCAGCCGCGACCCGTTTTTCTTGAAGCCAAAGATGACTGACTCGAGCATTATATATATGATGGAACTTCACTGGTTAATATATGGTTAGTATATGGTTAATATATATATATAGTTATCATATGGTTGTTATATGGTTATTATATGGTTATTATATGGTTAATGCTGGTTAATAATAACTACTGGTTGGTGGTGCAATAACCATCTTGAAAAATATGAGTTCGTCAATGGGGTTGCGATGACATCCCATATATGAAATGGAAAATAAAACAAGTTTGAAACCACCAACCAGATTATGCATATATATATATATATTATGTATGTACTATTATTAGACATTATATGACATTATATGCACTAACTTCGCTGATTATCATATGCTCCAAGGGAACTAACATTCCCTGAAATGAATTTCAGCATGTATATTATATATATAATAATAATATATACATATGTACACAAATACAAATAAACTATATCAAACCAGATTGGAACCCTAGCGCCTAGCGCTGAAAAATATGTCCTTGGTCCCTTGGGTTGGACATTAATCTGCACACGAGCAACTCTCTTATAGATTGGTGAAAAAAATCAGGGCCCATGGACATAAGTCAAGTATAGGAGAACTAAATATAAATATATATAACATTATACATATCCTGGGGTAAATGTAATATAGTGCAGGATGGGGCCCAGGGAACTAGCTCGGTCAAGACAAGGAGCTTTGCAATCCTGGAACCCCAATCTTCTTGGGCCTGACAAAAAGACATCTCTCAAGTTGCTGGTTTGATTTTCACACGCATACGGAATCATGCAATACAAAGACTGGTTGGTGGTTTCAATCCCTCTGAAAAATATGAGTTCGTCAATGGGGTTGGGATGACATCCCATATATGAAATGGAAAATAAAACAAGTTTGAAACCACCAACCAGAAGATGTTTGCAAGTGGACATCAGACCTTTTAACGTCTCTCAATCATACAGATTCAGGCGCGGGTCCGTGTCGATGAGATCCAAATCCCTTGGAGCATTCTTTATGATATACCCTCTGGTAAACATACAAAAAGCTATTGAAAATTGCCATTTATAGTGAGTTTTCCCATTAAAATTGGTGATTTTCCATAGTTATGTTAGTTTACCAGAGGGTATTCCATTCAACTCACAAGCCAGGTGTTGTTTTCAGTCCTTCTCTCCAGAGGTTACAACAAACATAACAAACTGCTCTAGGAAGTCTGTGCAGTTGCGATAATGACTCGAATTTTGCATGACATGATTGTGGGCATACATCAATCATCATCAATCTCTTGTCTGATGAATTCTGCGCTACCATTGCAGCAACATGTAGAGTCTAAATATCTGCACGTGGATCAAAATGATGATGCCCCACAAAGCCTTACATATGTAGCCATACCCACATCATCATCTATCTCATCTATCGTCATGTGCCACATGTGCCAGCACCCAACCAGGTTAACCATCCCCCAAATATCAACCATACGAGGGATTCTGACTACATCATCCCAGCTATTTTTTTTTGGCTGTTCATTTTCATCATCATCTTTTTACTGGGATGATGTGGTCATAATGTTCATTATATTTTTACTGGGTTATTTTGTTCATCAACATATTTTTACGCCTGGACTCGGTCGTTCAATGTCCAGGTGGAAAACCCCGCACCTTCGTGCTTTGCAACAGCCCGCTTTTGTGAGACCATCCACAAACTCCTCTGACGAACCATGGGGACCAGGGAAAGCAGGAGAGCCATGGTAAGCCGAAGAAACCATCTCAGTAACCAGTTGGATCCTTTTTCACCAAAAAAGGGGTCCTTTTATATCATCCCATTAGGTATCCCATGAATTTAGGGGTATACCCAATCATAATCACCTCAGGATGGTTTACCTCATTAGTCAACAAACCCTTTTTTTGTTGACGTCTACAGTCCGGGATACTTATGGATGCCCTCAACCATCCAGAACGCTACCCTCTGGTCATGCTGATTCTCCAATGAAATAGATGTTTTATAGATGCTTTACGGAAATTTACTTTTTAAACACAGTGAATTTCCAGTTCGCTTCGTTAACACACCAAAGGGAAAACACATAGACAGCCAGGTCATCATTGGTTGAGCACAGCAAGAAAGCTATTGTTGATGGATGTTGAAGAATCATAGGGCTCTTGACCCATGCCTGTAAAACTGTGATTGGAATGATATATGATATCAACCCCATATTGGAAGTACATCCCATCATTTAAGCTATAAATATCAATAATCTAAAAATTGTATGCCCTATCATAAGCTTGGGCCCGCACTGACTGTTATGTCCGTTTTGATTGGTAAAAAAACAATGTTTCTTGGTTATAATAATAATAATAAACAACACATAGAATTTTGTCCGAATCATGTCCCCCCATGCTTAACTTTCCATTTGTGGCATACATGTTTTTCGATATGAACCCCTGGCATGTTCCATTGCCAGGCTGGATTTTCTGAGGGTACCCAAATGGGCACCACATTCTTCACCCGAACGTCTGCTTGTTTAAGCCTCATGAAGGCCAAATATGGTTGTCCAAAAACAGTCGATATATGGTACATTCTGGTACTATACACAGAAACATGAACGATAATGATGATAGACCATGTGATGGAATGATGGAATGAAGTTCCACAATCTTGAGATAACTCCCCATTCAGAAAATGTATCTCCCCTTTCAAACCTATCTATATATTGTATAAATATTTAAATAACTGGTTCCATGTACAATCCCAGCCCAATCGGATGTAAAACTTCACTTCCTATCCATTTTGAACATGTTCCCCAAATATCTATCAGAATTCTTCCAAACCTGGATTATCATCATCATCATCATCATCATCAGCATTAGTTGTTAATATTAATAATTTTCTTATTATTATGTTCATTATTATAATATCATTATTAGTATTATTACTATCATTATTATCATTGTTATTGTATATATATAAATCATTACTATCTAACACATCCCCATCATCCCCATGACCCAACATAGGAAACACAGTGGCAACCCCCGGATTTGCTTTAGGAACCTTAAAAACATGAAGCATATTCCCTATAGATTCCCCAAGTAATGGATTTCCCCATGGGGAAAAAATAAACAAATCATCGACTCAGCAACTCAAAGATGATAATTGATTATTCAGCGAACTAAACCTCCATTTATAGATATTTTCCGAAAAAAAAACATGAAATCCCATGAAACATCCCATGAAACATCCCATGAGTTTCAGTAAATCCAAGATTTTAATTACTATAAATCATGATTTTCCCTATATTTCTCCTATATTTTTCCAATGTTTTCCCATCGATTTTCAGCAAATCTACGAAGTCCTTGAGGTTCAACATGTTGTCCGGCTGCGTATTCAACGCTGCGAAGGCCGCATCGGTGCTGCCCCATTGGCGGATCATGAACATCACCACCTGCAAAACGTCCAGGTAAGGCGGGAGAACTCATGGTTGATGATGGTTAATAGTGCTTCGTAACGGTTAATAGTGGTTAATATAGTGGTTGATGGTCGCATAGTGGTCAACAACGGTTGATAGTGGTTAATATAGTGGTTGATGGTGGTAAATAGTGGTCAACAACGGTTGATAGTGGTTAATATAGTGGTTGATGGTGGTAAATAGTGGTGAACAACGGTTGATAGTGGTTAATATAGTGGTTGATGGTGGTAAATAGTGGTCAACAACGGTTGATAGTGGTTAATATAGTGGTTGATGGTGGTAAATAGTGGTTAACAACGGTTGATAGTGGTTAATATAGTGGTTGATGGTGGTAAATAGTGCTTCATAACGGTTAATAGTGGTTAATAGTGGTTGATGGTGGTAAATAGTGGTTAACAACGGTAAATAGTGGTTAAAATAGTGGTTGATAGTTGTAAATAGTGGTTAACAACGGTTGATAGTGGTTAATATAGTGGTTGGTGATGGTAAGTAGCGGTCAACAACGGTCAATAGTGATTAATATGTAGTTGATAGTGGTAAATCGTGGTTAACCACGGTTGATAGTGGTTAATAATATGGTTGATGGTGGGGAATAGTGGTTAACAACGGTTGATAGTGGTTAATAATATGTGGTTGATGGTGGTAAATAGTGGTTAACAACGATTGATAGTGGTTAATAATATGGTTGATGGTGGGAAATAGTGGTTAACAACGGTTGATAGTGGTTAATAATATGGTTGATGGTGGGAAATAGTGGTTAACAACGGTTGATAGTTGTTAATAATATGTAGTTGATGGTGGGAAAAAAGTGGTTAACAACGGTTGATAGTGGTTAATAATATGGTTGATGGTGGGAAATAGTGGTTAACAACGGTTGATTGTGGTTAATAATATGGTTGATGGTGGGAAATAGTGGTTAACAACGGTTGATAGTTGTTAATAATATGTAGTTGATGGTGGTAAATAGTGGTTAACAACGGTTGATAGTGGTTAATAATATGGTTGATGTGGAAAATAGTGGTTAGCAAAAGTTGATAGTGGTTAATAATATGGTTGATGGTGGGAGATAGTGGTTAGCACCGGTTGATAGTGGTTAATAATATGGTTGATGGTGGTAAATAGTGTTAACAACGGTTGATAGTGGTTAATGATATGGTTGATGGTGGGAAATAGTGGTTAACAACGATTGATAGTGGTTAATAATATGTAGTTGATGGTGGGAAATAGTGGTTAACAACGGTTGATAGTGGTTAATAATATGGTTGATGGTGGGAAATAGTGGTTAACAACGGTTGATAGTGGTTAATAATATGGTTGATGGTGGGAAATAGTGGTTAACAACGGTTGATAGTGGTTAATAAAAAGGTTGATGGTGGGAAATAGTGGTTAACAACGGTTGATAGTGGTTAAGAATATGGTTGATGGTGGTAAATAGTGGTTAACAACGATTGATAGTGATTAATACAAAGGTTGATAGTGGTTGATGGTGGTTAACAAAGATTAATAGTGATTAATATAGTGGTTGATGATCGTTAAACCGCGGTTGACACCGGTTAATAGCGGTTAATATAGTGTTTGATGGTGGTAAATAGTGGTTAACATCTGTAAATAGTGGTTAAAATAGTGGTTGATGGTGGTAAATAGTGGTTAACAACGGTTAATAGTGGTTAATATAGTGGTTGATAGTGGTTAATAATGGTTAACAACGGTAAATAGCGGCTAATACAGTGGTTGATGGTGGTAAATAGTGGTTAACAACGGTAAATAGTGGTTAATACAGTGGTAGATGGTGGTAAATCGTGGTTAACAGTTAATTGTGTTTAATAGAGTGGTACGTAGGTGTAAATGGTGGTTAACAACGGTTAATAAGTGGTTAATATAGTGGTTGATAGTGGTAAATAGTGGGTAACGACAGGCCAATAGTGATAAATATATAGGTTGATGGTGGTAAATAGTGGATAACAACGGTCAATTGTGATTAATATAGTGGTTGACGGTGGTAAACAGTGGTTACCAACGGTAAATAGTTGTTAATATAATTAGTGGCTGATGGTGGTAAACAGTGGTTACCAACGGTAAATAGTTGTTAATATAATTCGTGGTTGATAGTGGTAAATATTGGTTAGCAGCAATGAAAAGTGGTTAATACAAAGGTTGATGGTGGTAAATAGTGGTTAGCAACGGTTAATAGTAATTAATATAGTGGTTGATGGTGGTAAATAGTGGTTAACAACGGTAAATAATGAGTCGCTAATATATACAATGGTTGATGGTGGTAAATAGTGGCTAGCAACGGTCAATAGTGGATAATAGTGGGTGATAGTGGTAAATAGTGATTAACAAGGGTAAATAGTTGTGAATATGGTGGTTGATACTTGTAAATAGTGGTTAACAACGGTAAATAGTGTTTAATAGACTGGTTGATGGTGGTAAATAGTGGTTAACAACGGCAAATAGTGGTTAATGTCATGGTTGATGGTTAACAACGGTAAATAGTTGTTAATATAATGGTTGATAGTGGTAAATAGTGGTTAACAACGGCAAAAAGTGGTTGATATAGAAGTTGATAGTGGTAAATAGTGGTTAACAACGGTCAAAAGTGGTTAATACAGTGGTTGATCGTGGAAAGTAGTGGTTAACAACAGTTAATAGTAGTTAATACCCTCTGGTAATTTAACATAGCTATTGAAAATGACCATTTATAGTTGATTTTCCCATTAAGCATGGTGATTTTCCATAGCTATGTTAGTTTACCAGAGGGTAGTGGTTAATATAGTGGTTGATGGTGGGAAATAGTGGTTAACAACGGTTAATAGTGGTTAATGTAGTGGTTGATGGTGGTAAATTGTGGTTAACAACGGTAACTAGTTGTTAATATAATTCGTGGTTGATGGTGGTAAATAATGATAAACAACTGTAAATAGTGGTTAATACAGTGGTTGATGGTGGTAAATAGTGGTTAACAACGGTCAATAGTGGTTAATATAGTGGTTGATAGTGGTCAATTATGGTTAACAACGGTAAATAGTTTTTAAATATAATGGTTGATGGTGGTAAATAGTGGTTAACAACAGTAAATAGTGGTTAATACAGCGGTTGATGGTGGAAAATAGTGGTTAACAACGGTAAATAGTGGTTAATACAGTGGTTGATGGTGGTAAATCGTGGTTAACAACGGTACATAGTTGTGAATATAGTGGTTGATAGTGGTGAATAGTGGTTAACAACGGTCAATAGTTGTTAATAGAGTGGTTGATAGTGGTAAATAGTGGTTAACAAAGGTAAATAGTGGTTAATATAGTTGTGGATAGTGATAAATAGTGGTTAACAAGGGTCAATAGTGCTTAATATAGTGGTTGATAGTGGTAAATAGTGGTTAACAACGGTTAATAGTAGTTAATAGTGGTTAATATAGTGGTTGATGGTGTTAAATAGTGGTTAACAACGGTGAATAATTATTGGATAATATAGTGGTTGATGGTGGTAAATAACGGTTATCAACGGTACATAGTGATTAATATAGTGGTTGATAGTGGTGAATAGTGGTTAACAGCAGAAAATAATTAATTAGTGATTAATATAGTGGTTGATAATGGTAAATAGTGGTTAACAACGGTTAATAGTGGTTAATATAGTGGTTGATGGTGGTATATAGTGGTGAACAACGGTACATAGTGGTTTATATAATGGTTGATAGTGGTAAATAGTTGTTAACAACGGTACATAGTGATTAATATAGTGGTTGATAGTGGTAAATAGTGTCTAACAACGGTCAATAGTTGCTAATATAGTGGTTGATAGTGGTAAATAGTTGTTAACAACGGTATATAGTGATTAATACAGTGGTTGATCGTGGTAAATAGTGGTCAACAACGGTTAATAGTGGTTAATATAGTGGTTGATGGTGGTAAATAGTGGTTAACAACGGTTAATAGTGGTTAATATAGTGGTTGATGGTGGTAAATAGTGGTTAACAACGGTTAATAGTGGTTAATATAATGGTTGATAGTGGTAAATAGTGGTTAGCAACGGTACATAGTGGTTATTATAATGGTTGATAGTGGTAAATAGTTGTTAACGGTCAAGTGTGCTTAATATAGTGGTTGATGGTGGTAAATAGTGTCTAACAACGGTTATTAGTGGTTAATATAGTGGTTGGTGGTGGTAAATAGTGGTTGACAACGGTACATAGTGATTAATATAGTGGTTGATAGTGGAAAATAGTGTCTAACAACGGTCAATAGTGTTTACTGTAATATAATAATTGATAATGGTTATTAATGGTGCTGAGTCATCAAATGTGGTGGGAAATCATGGGAAAATAAAGGATTTCCAGCAAACTTTGTTTGACTACCAGGGGGAACATATTCACGTTTAGGGGATGTATATAATATAATGTAAGTGTATACTTTTATATGTATATAATGTAAATAAATACGTATATATATATATACATACTGTGTATCATTATAGTATGGTATAACCCACAGAGTATGTGGTTGGAAACTGGGGCTAGTTTAGGGTACCATGTGTGTGTGTGCTTTTTTTAAGTGATATGAGGAAAATCTGATATAACTAACTGAACAGATTGTGTCCTGTCATATAGGAAAAAAACAACTGTAATAGCAACAATGAATAAACATGGAAGATAGGAGGCAAAAAACAAAAGTTAAGCACCAATACTTAGACGCAAGTTCCTGTGTGGAAAGAAATCTCCACAAGTCCCCTGTGTCCCCTGCTAGTTTGAACTGACAAATTGCTGGGTTGCCTGGTGGATTGGATAGCAGATGGGTGCGTCTCAAAAATTGCCACCCGATTCCATATCCAAATCACAGCTTCATTGTTTTCCCAATAAGACTTGCCATGCAATGGGGTACTGGACCCGATTTTCTGACCCAATTAATCAACACATTGGTTCGCAAAGTGTTCAACAATCAACACCAACCAAGCAATACCCATCAGCACCAATGAACACCAATTAACACCCATTCTTCATCAATCAACACCAACCAAAACATGTTTGTTCACCAATCAGCACCCATTTTCCGCAAAGCAAATCCAAATAAGACCAATCAACACCATTTTTACCAATGAAAAGCAATAGTTTTCACCAATCATAAGTAATCAACATGTGTTCGCCAACTAACAGCCACCTTGAGAACCTCCTGGGGAACATCATCCAGGCATGACCTGATCGCGATGCGATTGGTTTCCGAAGTCATGGGGTGATCCCCACCAAGTCACCATGGTTGTTTCAATACTGTTCAATACTACCATCTGGTTATGACTAACAGTTCACCATGGAAAATCACCATGCTATTAATAGGTAAACCATCTATTTCTATGGGCTATTTTATGCAATTTTCCATGGCGAACTGTTAAATAACCAGAGGGTAAGTCATGTTCTAATGGCTTGGATATGATTTCGGGGTACTCCACCATTTCAGGAAAGCTCCAAATCTGACGAAATTATCAAATTTCAACATCCGGAAAACTCCTGAAGTAATGCCATGATTTCTGAAACATATCCTACCATCATCGTATGGATGAAGTCATTTGAGGTTGAACTAATTCCGCAAAATGAATGTGTGTTTCAATAGAAAATCATGGAACGACATGGCTCTACATGTGGTATTTTCCAGCAGGAAGGTACTGGTAGAAATGAAATGATTGAAAAGGATGACATATGTGTGATTTAAGCACCAAAAATGAAGTTTTAACCATAATTACGAACAGGGATGCGCTCCTGAGTAATTATGGCTTCGTTAAAAAGTTGTAGGCGGGATGTTCAATACATCTACCAACCAGCCATCAACCCAAAACTCGCTCCAAGGTCTCCAAGCCTTCAGGATGCATCGGACTGTTTTGAAACCACCAAGCACATCACATATCATCGACTGCATCGACCCTTCTCCATTGCTGCTTATACCAGTCATTATTTTTTCTGGATGGTGGTTTCACTCATCGGCTCATCATGACCAAACAGGATTGAACATCATGACCGCCATCAAAAGGACACTTTGAATCCAGCAACTTGTCCTGGTTGATGGTTGACCTACCCCGCTGATAAATATTAGTCAAATGGGAGTATTATTCCCATATATTATGGAAAAAAATGTTCCAAACCACCAGCCAGGTTATTGTTTCTGTCCTCAACTGTCCCAATTTTCACGTTGCTTCTCCTCCCATTTGTACGAAGAATTGGAGTGGTTTCCCGGCATCCAAAAATGGCATTCCACTACACTCCTCGACATTTGTTGGTTACGATCCTAATTACCATCCAGTACATTAACATGGATATTCATGTCTAGATCTTCTTCCTGCTGTGGATGGGCCAGCGAAATCCTGCACCAGTTGATAGATGGTTGAAAGCCAAACAATTTTTATTGGCATGTTTTACCATCTGTCAACTGGTGCAGGATTTTGCAGCAATCCACAGGAGGAAATGCGTGTGTTCCACATTCATATTACCCTCCGGTAAACTAACATAACTATGCATGGAACATCACCATTTTCAATGGGTAAATCCACTATAAATGGTCATTTTCAATAGCTATGTTAAATTACCAGAGGGTATATAGTTTACCTCAGGTTACGTTGTTAGCAACGAATACAAACAGCCAAGGCAGTGGATTGTTAAAAAAACACTTGGTCACACCCCACGTACTGGCACCGCTTTCCGAGCCATCATCAAATTTTGCCCATCATATTGTTTCAGCCAGTTATGCAATGAATATGCCCAAATATCTTTGCATTTTATAGGTATCTATAGGTATATATCTATAGGTATATATCTATGGGTATCTATCTATAGGTATCTACCTATAGGTATCTATCTACTGTATAGGTATCGTTATCTATCTATAGGTATCTATATATATATATAGGTATCTAAAGGTATCTAAAGGCATCTATCTATATATATAGATATCTATGGGTTATTGGGTGACCCAGCAACGCTTGGTGCTCCAACTGCTGAACTGTTTTTTTACTGGGAATTCAGCCCCAGGTTTTTAGATAAAAGCCCTTTGAAAGTTCGTGGTTCTTGGTGGTTGATAAAGCCTCAAATAGAACCTACAGGAAATCCATAAATACACCTGGTTAAATATAATATGGGTGGGAAATCCCATGGATATCATAAATAATTTCTTATTTGTTGCGATAAATACTAGTTACCCTCTGGTTATTTAACATAGCTATTGAAAATGGACCATTTAGTTCATTGATTTTCCCATTAAACATGCTGATTTTCCATAGCTATGTTAGTTTACCAGAGGGTCTATGTTTATGGTTGTGTTTATGGGGTTCAGCACCTCCATGTTTAGTGACTTACTGACTTCTTTTTTTGATGGCCATAACTGTAACCTCCATGATAGTAAGTAGGTTCATCCCTCACACTATTGGGATTGGGATATAACATATATATATATATATATATCGGCGTAAATTATTACAATATTTCACTAAAGTGAATTAAGGCCATTTTGGGATGATTTCCCTTACTAACTATGATTATAGTGAGATCGCAGTGAGGTCGTTATAACTTACCCATACATATGTATATATATATATACATACAAATAACCCACCACGAAACGCAACTTCTGGCAACATCCGGCCGTATGTTGGGGGATGCTCACCGAGCTGGTTATTGGTTTTAACGGTTATCGCAATTGTCCCATCATCGCAATTAATCGACTATATATGTATGTGTATATATATATATATACATACATATATATATATATATCCCCATGATTCTTGATTTGTACCCCCAATTGTGCTGGTTAAATCCTATAGTATTCGCCATTATATCCCATCAACAATTCCATCAGATTTCCATGTTCTATCCAGCTTTTCTGGTCATATCCCAATAATATCAGGATATCTCCGTTCAAACCATCAGATTCCATTGAGCCAGAAATATGAAACATATAATGGTTTAATGGTTTAAATCCAGTAATATCTAGATATCACTTGATGGTTTAAATCCAGTAAAATCTACATCATCGCATTGTTTTCCCCCCAGAAATCCCAGCGGCCAAAAGTCGAAGGCCGTGTCTGGCAGATGCGTCCAGCCGCCCACCAAGGATGCCAGTCGGCGCCGCACCTGACGAGGATAGTATGGGATAAGTCGCATAGATAGTATGGGATCACACACACAATATATATATATAATATATATATATGAATAGTAATAACATGTAATAATATATATATATACATACAGATAATATGTTATTACGGGATCAAAATATGGGATATGATTCTATATTAATATATATGATATATATATATATATATACTGTATGTATGTATATATATATAGATATGGTAACCCCCAAAAATACCTTTCCTACTGGGGGTTGCTATAAGCACCCAATACCAGTACTAACCATCAATAACATGGAGTAAGCATCATGTTGTATCGTAACCCCCAAAAAGATGGAAAATGGACCAGTAAATTCCTACTAAAATACAACAAGTTCCCGTTCTAAAAACATGGATATAACCACCAGAAATTGGGATGAACCATCAACGATGGCGGATTACACCGTGGTATTTTTCCAGTTTGCTATGAAAAAGTAACCCTTGAAAGAAAATGTGAATCAGCACACTAAATGGGCCATAGCCTCCATAGCTTCTCAAAACAACCGGAGGGTAACCATTAAGAATGGGGATTGGCTAAACTCATACCCTAAATACTTGTTTGACTGATTACATGGTAAATTCTGATTTAGGCAAAGTCCAACAGAGTTCATGATTTTACCAATCAAACATAGAGATGTTCATCAACTACAATCTTGATTATACATGATTATATATGAATATATAAGCAACCACACAGGTGGAGTTCAACAACCGAAAACCAAAATGGGGACCACCGTTTGGACGGACACATCTGATGAAGAGATACCATGCACTGCAACAGGTTTTCCTTTGTGATCAAGTTATGTTTGGGGAAAAGTGTCAAGTACCCAGTCTTATTGTTGTTCAAAAGTCATCCCTGCTTAGTTTTCCTGGTAAATGCTTAGAGATGGAACCAAAAAACATGCCCTCCAGTAATTAAACATGGCTCACCATTTTTCAAAGATATCATTGAAACCGCCATGTTTCCCCCTGTCCGTTTCTGTGCCTTGCAGGCTCGTGTTCTATGCTCACAAGTAACTACTCGCTCGCAGCGCCAAAAGATTGAGTTATCACTATGGAATATTGTTTCCACACTAACTATAGGACCATAAACCATCTGAATGCGGGATAACCCTCCACTTGCTGGGTCACTAGGGTTACTAATCACAACCTCACTTCATGCGAGCCTTGAGATTTTGCCGATCCACCGCACAGTTGTAGGTGCCTAAGTGAGGCGATTTTCTGGATCTAAATCATTATTGGAACTACCCCAAAAGATCCAAAAAAATGGGAAAGTAAAAACCATAAAGAGAACAATATCTGTTTTCCTCTCTAATACTGTATAATTTTCTTTTTTTTGGGTTAATATAAGTCTAATATAAGTCTATAGGAAAAGTAACGGTCGATTTGGCTCCAGTCGGACTGAAGAAAACCCAAATCAGTTTGTGCCCAACTGAAAATGTTTGATGAATGGGGAACCTTGGGCCAGGCAGAAAATACGGGATTTTTGGATTTTACCAAAAATATTGTTTTTTTAACGGGGATGGTCAAGGAATATAGGAGAGGTGGTTTAATTTGTGGTGTTCTTAACTAACTCTGTTCTTCTTCATTTGACTAAAACCGGGCCATCAGTCCACCAGCAGTTCATTCATGCTGGAAAAATATTTCATACGAGGAGCTCAACCCTGGTGCAACACTTGATGGGGAGGGATTTGAACCCACAACACAACATTGAAAGAAACAATGTCTTCGATGCTCGCCATTGGACTCCATGTGGTCTTGAATTTCCAAGCGTGAACCCAAGATGCCATCTCAGTCAAAAAAACATCATCAACTCATCAAACATCAACATCATCATCAACATCACCTGCCAAGATACATTGTACCAAACCCTGGGCTGGGATGTTTTCCAGTTCATCCCAAGATTTTGGAATACCTCAGGGGTTGCGTCACTTTGTTCAGGCAATTTCACTCGTCCATTACTCGAACACGTTTTTATTCGCCCTTGGTGAAACCCCCCAAAAAAATATGGCCATGTTCACCCCCCCATTCTGACGGTTCCACCGGTATTCGTTCATTTCCCCTCATCCCCAAACATATTCCAACCGTCCACATCAACATTCAAAGGTTGCCACTTGATGAAGAGAGGCCTGATGCTATACCATTCCATACTATGCCCCGCCTGCTACGAAGGGTTGGAAAGCTGGAACGTTTGGATTGGCGTCTTTGTCGATCATGGGATTTTTGATGTTCCTCAACTGGCGTCGAGCAAACTGGTGCCAGCGTTTAGGATAACCATGTTGGTGCAAATGATTTCAGTAACATCAAAAAATGGGTTTATAATACACAAACATAGATACACATATAAATAAATATGCATATGTATAATTACATACAAATACACAAATATATAGATAAATACATGCATACATGCATACATACATACATAAATAAACAAAATAAATAAAAATAGAAATAAATGAATAAATAAAAAAATATCTTATAAATATACTTTGATGGATGGGGTTCCGAAACAACAAAAACAACTGGGGGTGGGCACCACCTTGTGGATATCGTCATCGTTTGATGCCGTGGCCAAAACACGGTGGGGATCTATGGGGTATGGACATCTATTCCATATTGGAAATCATTAAGCTGCGCATATAAATCGGCTTTACAATGGGAAACCAATTCCCAATATTGGATTCCCAATATAGTATAATATGGAAAACGGTTGAAACATCTAAGGAAGTTTAGTTTAGAATGACTTTACTTCGAGTCATCCCCACCATGACATTTATACGTGTTGTTACTGGCTAGGTAGGTTAATAACTCCGATGTCAGAATCTACAAGCAACCCAATTCGGGAAAGGTTATACAACCTATTTCTCGTAAAGTTGGGGATGGTTTATGATTAGGTTTGCCACATGACTGCCATCCTCAGTGCTCCAAGTATCACACTATCCTCAGCCGAAGCTAAGCGAACTAGGGTATGGAAGCAGCGACGTTGGTCGCACTGCTCCAGATCGATGACGTGGAAGGACATTTCCTGCAGGAGGCGGATGTAAATAGGACTTATAGGAAATGTTATAGGGATTTTGTAGAGATACACTGGGGATTGTTATCCATTGCAGCAGGGAAACAAAGCCGCAAGACAAAGAAAAATGGAGCCGTTGAGTCGGGACCACTAATTATATGTGGTTTTGATGTCCAATACTAGTACAGGAATGTGAGAACCCTCGCTTTTGAGCACACATGGGCCTCTGAACCAGCTGAAAAAGATACCAACTCATACCAAACAACCAAAAAATCCATGCACGTTTCAAGGGGATGACCGGAGGTGCAATTTGGGATGAGGATGATTGGGGATTGCCAACTGCAAATGAGACGCCATTCATCTACCCAAATCACCCTACTGTCTCGGGACATCCAATTCCTTCTGAGCAAGGGGGAGATGGGGAGGACTGGGCTGGGATGATGATCCTGATGATGATGGACGAATCAATGAATGAATGAATGAATGCATGATTGAATGAATGAATGCATGGATGAATGAATGAGGGAATGAATGAATGAATGAGCGAATGAATGAATGAATGGATGAATGGATGAATGAATGAATGAATGGATGGATGAATGAATGGATGAATGAGTGAATGAATGAATGAATGAATGCATGAATGAAGGAATGAATGAAGGAATGAAGGAATGAAGGAATGAAGGAATGAAGGAATGAGTGAATGAATGAATGAATGCATGAATGCATGAATGCATGAATGCATGAATGGATGAATGGATGAATGGATGAATGAATGGATGGATGGATGAAAGAAAGAAAGAAAGAAAGACAGAATTAATGAATGAATGAATGAATGAATGAATGCATGAAGGAATGAATGAATGAAGGAAGGAATGAATGAATGAATGAATGAATGGATGAATGGATGAATGAATGAATGAATGGATGAATGGATGAATGGATGAATGAATGAATGAATGAATGACTGAATGCATGAAGGAATGAATGAATGAATGAATGAATGAATGGATGAATGGATGAATGGATGAATGGATGAGTGGATGAATGGATGAATGGATGAATGGATGAATGGATGAATGGATGAATGAGTGAATGGATGGATGAATGAATGAATGAATGAATGAATGAATGGTGATTAAAATGTACTTTTATCATTCATTCAGAGATAATAATCAGACAATGACTGGGACTCATACACAACAATGATCACAAATAGGTCATGGAAATCAAAACAACCATCCACATGAAGACTTGAAGCCATGATTGGCTGGAGTGAGCGTGCACGAGACAGTTTTGTCAGCAAACATTGAAGTCTTTCAAAGGTGGACAGAATGCGAGACGCAAGGTGTTTTCAACCAAGCATCCGGCTGTCCATAGGGGAACAGGTTCAGGTATCCCAACCTCCAAAGGCAAACCGGCGAAGTCAAACTGTGAGCCATGATGATGTGCCGTACAACACCATACAGTAAGTCAATGCAAACAAGTCATGTCCCACTACAATTCAAACTATGTTCGCTGCTTGCAGTGCGGTTTCAGGTGTGTCCACGTATTCCCAGTTTCTGAGCGCATGTGCTGGGATAGGTCGATCAAACGCTGTAGTTCTGCAAAAGCAACATAAATAACAAATCCACTATTTCAATATATTTCATGATCTATTCAACTATTGTTCCCCCGTTCTGGAATGTTCTGGACCACCCTGTCAACATCACATTCTTGGGCCTGGGGGATCCCATTGAGTCCCTCTCAGTTGAACATTGGCTCGTAGACACGCCTAGGGTACCAGTTTTGCTGTAAAGTAAACCACTACACCACTGGGATCCGCTATAGTTTCACCCCTTTTTTAAGGTCTAAACCTCAAAAACCCGTGGAACGGACCACTGACCACTGTAAAATCCTACCATCCACAGGGCCGACAGGAGTCCGGACCTTTGGCTCAGAAGCTTCCAGTGGTGCCGCGAGAACTTGGGCTGGCAACCTGAGCGCTGGACATGCTGGATCTTCCGCATGGGTGGAGGGCTTTTGCCACCTTGAACCGGGTGCTGTTCACCCCTCTGAAATCATAGATGATCTTAAGACTCGTGATAAATCATTATTCATTATAATAAATAATTATATAAGAAAAACATGACGATACATGATGATAAATAATGATACATGATCATCGGTCAGCCCAAATTGATAAAGCGCGAGCCTGTCAACTGGACATCTTTTAAGTACGTTCACGTGAACAGTAGAGATTCAGTATAGACAGTTTGCAGGATGGGGGGGTTGGGTCCTTTCGGGCGACTACGAATAATATAAATTGGAGTCGCCAACTACCCATAAGTGGGGTTTCAGTAAGCGCTACAGAACTTAATCATAACTAGAACTCCAGCTCCATAAAAAAAAAGCAACAGCAATGGAACATGGACAATGTAGCCATCCTCTTGTAGCATGTGCTTACCCAAGAAATGACATGATTCATGTGCGTGCAGGGATACTGGTCTCCAATCACACCAACTCATGCAATCCTTTGAACCGATCCTCCAGCTAGGGAACATGTCCCCATATGTCGCCCACAAATGACATTTGTAGTGCACCTCCCAAGGGAAAAGCACACTTTCAGAGGTATGCCCTCTTTTGAACATTGCCAGGGAAAATCAACATCTTAAATAAATTATAGATAAACCCTTAAATGGCTTCCATGCTTTTGTTGAACAACCCGAGGGTAAACCTGATGATATTGGCAGTTGGTCATATCTAATGATATCCCATAAATAATAATCATAATAAGAATATATATATATATTATACATTATTATACATATATCTTTCCTTAGAATATCACAATCTAACCTAACTAATTATAGTCATAATCACAATAATCTCATATTGCTAGTAAAGCAATAATAAACCACCCAATTTTTTGATGGTTTAATTATATCCATAAAAAATCGGTAAACTATGGTAGGATAGTGGATCCTGTTGCTTCAATAACATGAAGAATTACTGTGGATGGTTGCGAAATCTTGGTTGAAACCCCAATAGGATGTTTACATATGTTTCCCATCTACCAACTGGTTCTTAATTTTTTCGCAGCCATTCCAAGGTCCAGCCATGATTTGGCTCCCACTTTTCGCGCTGGTGACATTTGCCGTTGATGGGCCAGTCCACACAGCGCAAGAAGAAGGTCGTCAAAGTTTCTCCACGGTCTTGGCCTGGGCGCGCCGGGCGCGGCGCCGGAGATCCCAAAATGTCTGAGGGAAAACCCATGGAAAAACACGAGTAAAGCACCAGGAAATCACCAGGAAATCCCGATTTCATGCTGCTTGGATCTGAATTGGATTTGGAACTGTTTCAAAATCATGCAGGAAAATGAAAACTATCTGAATTACTGGGGATATAGTAATAATAATTCCAATAAGTTTGGGGAAGAGAATGCACATCTGCAATTAGTGGACGGAATACACCAAGACGATCGTGGAGCACAAACTGATGTAATACGACTGTCTGGCCATATTGATTGCGAACTTCCAGTCCCTGGTTGAATAACTCTAGGGGGCCAAGCTGCTCTGGATTTTGTCGCACGCTGTGAAAGAAACTGTGGCACTGCGGATGCAGTGATTGAAAGGGATACTCCCACTGCTGGATCAACAAGCGAAGGGTGCTGAGTATGATAGCTGTAGTAGCATCAGTCATCAGTTCAAATCTACCAGAGATTACTTGAAGCTGGCCAAAGTAGCCTGCTTTTCCATGCCTGATCTGGTGCTTTTCCATTCACCGTGGGATTGCTGCCAAATTGAACTGCAAAAAAACATATGATCGGGCCAAGTGTAACCCCTACGTAGCACTTGGTGCATAGGACGTCACACAATGGATTGTCACAATCCCTAATATCTAGTAAAACCCCATGTCATCATCAATGAACGAAGGTTTTGAACATTGTACAACTGTACTTTCACGTGAAATGCAGGGATCCCTCCACATAGCTCCGCGCATCTCTGTATCTTCTCGGGGCCCTGCAAACTTTGCCGCCCAAGTCACGGTTCAGGAAGATGCACAGCAGGTTCCTGACCGGCAAATTGATGGGGATTTCACATGGGGATTTCCCGTTGATCGTGGAACGTCCCATGAAACTGGATGATTTGGGGGGTCCCCCCGTTTTCGGAAACTTCCATATATGTGTGGTGGTTGAGTGCAGCCAGAAACTCAGTCAACTGGTCTCAGGCGTGGTAGGATGTGCTATCAATTGTGGTTCCGATTCGTTCGACGACTTCAAGAGAAACATCCCTTCAAAGTAAAAGAACATATAAGAACATGAAGCCTGCCTAACTTTCCTATCAACACATACTTGGCAAGGTTTTTACCTATCATACACCTTTCTTCCCATAAAGCTACAAAAATATCCACAGCTCCTGACCCACCAGAGGCTACTCAGCAGGCAGGTCTCCTCAGCTGCCGGGTGAGAAGCCAGACCCGTGAACTGATCGCTCGAAGAGCCCATTGAACTTTGGCCACTTGTTTTCGCACCAGCGGATCCTCCTGCATGACGCTGACTGAAAAATCCACGGGATGCAACTGAACATCTGTTGAAAGATGGTGTTCCAAAGAAAAACCATGAACCAAACCTTGGAGATCCCTAGACACTCTGGAAAGCACGTTCCAGGAACATAGAAAACATTGCCAAATGGCTGGCGGCTGACTATTTCAGCGGTGAACAAGAAGTCATGTGTCCAATTTCAGCGGCAAGTATTTTACACGATCTCATGGACCATCATACACGGAAAAACCTTATTGGGATCCCAGCAAACTTTCGGAGGGAACAGCCGCAACAGACCAATTATGGACAGTTGGAGAAAGGCAGCATCTCCAATTAAGTTGCAGGAATATGAATTTTGCAAACTCCTCACAATAGATATCACCTTAATAAAACTCATTCAAAAGCAGAGTTTTCTGCATTGCGAAAATGGGGTCAGATTGCTGTTCTCATTGCCAGCCTATCTTGGGCTCCTTGAAATCCCAACAACAGTTCATTTTTGCCACGCCTTGTCTCCCTCTCTGATCTTTGGAGCCACTAAGTCCTCTGCTGGAGAAGGATGGAAGGACCCCCAAACAAATAGAAACCAACACCATCTTAGCCTATCGTATAATGGTGAAGGATGGTGATACTACGTGGTACTGATACATGTAAACATTTTCAAACCATCTCTTTTTTAATCATTAAATTAATCTGAATCATTTTATGTCCCTGCGATGATAAATAGCTGGTTCCTTCGTAGATATCCACATTTAGCACAGGATTGAGTTGTACTAAACTACCCATCCAGTCGGCTAATTCATCAAAAACCTTGATCGGATAACATCTTTCTGGTTAACACTGATTCACCAAGCTGAAAAGAAAAGAAGCACAGCCATGGGAATAGTTACCCAGTTAATCCCAGTTACCAGTTACCACCATTCCAGCTCTTTTACCCTCCTGTAATTTAACATAGCTTTGCAAATGACCACTTGTTTAGATGATTTAATTCTCAAACACAATGATTTTCCAGAGTTATCTTAGATTACCAGAGGATAATCCACCATTTTTTCATGGTTAATCCATGTTAATCCCATTATTTGGATGGTTACCCTCTGGTAAACTAACCTAACTATGGAAAATCACAATTTTTAATGGGAAAACTCACTATAAATGGCCATTCCCAATAGTTTTTTGTATGTTTACCAGAGGGTAATCCACTGAATGCCATCAACGTCGGTTCCCGTCGGAACGTTCCCATCGGTCCGCCAAGGCTGCCAGCACTTGCCCCCAGGCATCAAAGCTCACTGTGGAACAGTCCGCTGGTGGCCTGTCGCAATCGACGGCACATCACCGAAAAATAGAAAATTGTTATTATATGGTTAATGGTTATTATATCGTTAATAAATATATGGTTATTATATGGTTATTATATGGTTTTCAAAACCGATTAATATATGCTTATTATCAAAGGAAGTTGGGAAGCAATTTCCGAGTTACGAATGACTTTTTACTTGGTGCAATTGACTATGATGAAGGGTGGTAGATCCTGTAACAATACATAATGTACCAATACATCACAAACCAATAAGAAGCAATGAAATTGACCTTGAGGAAGGGTGGTAGATCATATAACAATACATAATATAACAATACATAATGTACCAATACATAACAAAAGAATAAGAAGCTATGAAATTGACCTTGAGGAAGTGATGAAGAAGGGAAGTGATGATGAAGGGGAGTGGTGACGATAGGAAGTGGTGAGGAAGGGAAGTGGTGACGAAGGGAAGTGGAGAGGAAGGGAAGTGATGATGAAGGGGAGTGGTGAGGAAGGGAACTGGCAACCATGAAGGGGAGTGGTGCATGAATGTTGCATGGGCTATGTTTTCGGGAGGAAGCTGGAGCACGAAACCTTGTGTTTTTCCGTGTAAAGTGGCTGCAGCCGGCGATGAAAGGTACCTCGTCTGTGCGACGGGTGCGGCTGGGGTCGTTTCTGTCGCGAATTGTTCCTCCTATGTGTTTTGCAACGAGTGGTTGTTCCTGTGTGCGTAGTTCTTTGCGTTTCTTGAAGCTGTGGTGGCAGATCGCATTGGAATGGATGCATGATGTTGCATGGGCTTTGTGTTGGGGAGGAAGCCGGAGCACGAAACCTTGTGTTTTTCCGTGTAAAGTGGCTGCAGCCGGCGATGAAAGGTACCTCGTCTGTGCGGCGGGTGCGGCTGCGGTCTTTTCTGTCGCGAATTGTTCCTCCTATGTGTTTTGCAACGAGTGGTTGTTCCTGTGTGCGTAGTTCTATGCGGTTCTTGAATCTCTGGTTGCAGATTGCATTGGAATCGCTGCTTCATTGTCGTCATTTGATGTTGCCACGTGCGTAGATAGGTGCGGGTTTGCCACGGGATGTTGCGAAACGCATTGGAATGGCTGCATGAATGTTGCATGGGCTATGTTTTGGGGAGGAAGCCGGAGCACCAAACCTTGTGTTTTTCCGTGTAAAGTGGCTGCAGCCGACGATGAAAGGTACCTCGTCTGTGCGACGGGTGCGGCTGCGGTCGGTTTGTGCGCGAATTGTTCCTCCTATGTGTTTTGCAACGAGTGGTTGTGTCTGTGTGCGTAGTTCTATGCGGTTCTTGAATCTCTGGTTGCAGATTGCATTGGAATGGCTGCTTCATTGTCGTCATTTGATGTTGCCACGTGCGTAGATAGGTGCGGGTTTGACACGGGATGCTGCGAAACGCATTGTAATGGCTGCATGAATGTTGCATGGGCTATGTTTTGGGGAGGAAGCCGTAGCACGAAACCTTGTGTTTTTCCGTGTAAAGTGGCTGCAGGCGACGATGAAAGGTACCTCGTGTGTGCGATGGGTGCGGCTGCGGTCGTTTTGTGCGCGAATTGTTCCTCCTATGTGTTTTGCAACGAGTGGTTGTGTCTGTGTGCGTAGTTCCATGCGGTTCTTGAATCTCTAGTTGCAGATTGCATTGGAATGGCTGCTTCATTGTCGTCATTGGATGTTGCCACGTCCGTAGATAGGTGCAGGTTTGCTACGGGATGCTGCGAAACGCATTGTAGTGGCTGCGTCAAGGTTGCTCGGTGCTGCGGCTGCATGCGTAATACTATTGTCTTTTGCAGCTGAAGATCGTAAATCGTATTGGAATGGCTGCATCAAGGCTGCGAAAGTGAATTGTCAGCAGATAGATTTTCTCAATTTTGGCGCTAATAATTTTCCTTTTAAAATTTCTTTTAAAAAGTGCTTCAAAATCGTCTTTTTGTCGCTTTGGCGTCGAGATCCGGTTTTGGAGCTGCAATTTCCGACGCCATTGCACGTAGTTCTATTGTGTTTTGCAACTCAATCTCTGCAGATCGCATTGTAGTGGCTGCGTCAAGGTTGCTTGGTGCAGCGGCTGCATGCGTAATACTATTGTCTTTTGCAGCTGAAGATCGTAAATCGTATTGGAACGGCTGCATCAAGGCTGCGAAAGTGATTTGTCAGCAGATTTTCTCAATTTTGGCGCTAATAATTTTCCTTTTTAAATTCCTTTTAAAAAGTGCTTCAAAATCGTCTTTTTGTCGCTTTGGCGTCGAGATCCGGTTTTGGAGCTGCAATTTCCGACGCCATTGCGCGTAGTTCTATTGTGTTTTGCAACTCAGTCTCTGCAGATCGCATTGTAGTGGCTGCGTCAAGGTTGCTTGGTGCAGCGGCTGCATGCGTAATACTATTGTCTTTTGCAGCTGAAGATCGTAAATCGTATTGGAATGGCTGCATCAAGGCTGCGAAAGTGATTTGTCAGCAGATTTTCTCAATTTTGGTGCAATGTGAAGTGTGAGGAAAGTGTTTGCATTCTACCGGGGTCGCGCGCAGGTCATGTTCTTGGACAGCAACACTGCAACAGCTTCGCACAAAGCACGCACGCACGAGCCTGGCTGGCACACGGCGCATGCAAGTTCCTTAGTAGTAGTACTGGGAAGTGATTCATGAAAGCTTAGATGACATATGAGAAGAGATGAGATGAGAAGAGATGAGCTGGGATAAGGTGAGAAGAGCTCAGATGAGATGAAGTGTGGAGTGTGAAGAGTGCAGTGTGAAGTGTGGGGCGTGAAGAGTGCAGTGTGAAGTGTGGAGTGTGAAGTGTGGAGTGTGAAGTGTGAAGTGTGGAGTGTGCAGTGGGAAGCGTGCAGTGGGAAGCGTGCAGTGTGAAGTGTGGATTGGGGAGAGTGCAGTGTGAAGTGAGAAGTGTGAAGTGTTGACTGCGAAGGGTGCAGTGTGAAGTGTGAAGACTGTCAAGTGTGAAGTGTGACGTGGGGCTTCAAGTGTGACATGTGAAGCAGGACACAACTTTCGCAGTGTGCACGCACGCACGGGCTTGGCTGGCGCACGGCGCATGCAAGTTCTATAGATGAGAAAGGTCTCATATATATCTTTAAGGCAACTTCCGCCCCGCCTCGTGCGGGTACTACTGGTATGGTTAATGATGGTTAATAATTGGGATGATGACATTCCCAACTGAATGGACAAATAAAAAATGTTCCAAACCGCCAGTCATGGATAAATATCATCTATGTCATCTATAAGTGGGCCAAGTTTCATCATTTTTCGGGAGAGATGTTAAAATATGTTACAAGTATAGTATTGATCGGTATTTTTTTCATATCTGAATCAACTTGATGAACAGGCAAGTCGGTGAAAGAACCCTTGCAATACCACGTGTAATGTCAACCCCGCATTAATAAACCATGGCTTGCTGATTACGGGGGTACCATGGGGTACCCTACAAAAGGTGACAATATGATACTTAATTGGTACCCCAATTAAACAGCCCTTTGTGGGTTTATTAACCCATGGTTGACATGTAGGGTTTTCTCAGCATCGAAAAATATCCAAGCACTTGGTCTGAGTGGTTTCCATTCGAGAACATCCTTGGCAGTCTTTCAACCCGTCTCAAACATGTTTGTCAAGTGGGCTTCATCACCACAAGTGGATCCCTACGTGGTGTGGTTGAAAGTATGGTCCATGGCTGAAACATGTTGAAACCATCAACCACTGGGTGGTGGTTTTAACCATCTCTAAAACTATGAGTCAATGGGAAGGATTATCCCCTATATTTATTATGGAACATAAAAAATGTTTGAAACCACCAGCCAGACCAGTATATGCCCGAGAAATATCATCGTATCCCCATCGTGAAATCTCCATGTTACCCAGCGCTTCCAAGTCGGTTAGGTTTACTGAGTCCGTTATCGCAAAGGACAGGCGACAGGCTTGACTAAAGGGCTACAACTTACCCATGTTAAACGCATCATTCAGATGTCTTTAGATAGACGGTCAGCTGGGGAGATTATTTATCATCCTAACTTGATGTACAGGATTTCCCAGCCACCCATGTGACACGGGCCAGCGGGTCACGTTTGTTTCTGCGCTCGCGGCCTATATAGAGCCACAAAATCGAAGGAGAGCTGCCCCGAGGCCGGTAAGCGCCAATCATTCTCTGCCCAGCTCACCAAGCGCCCTGCAGATGGTGCCAGTCTGGTTGAAGTTTTGTGGCACCCGGTTTCGACCATGAAACACAGGGAATCTCAATGGATTTCTTGTAGTTTCCTTAAACCAATTCAGAACTATACAGTAAGTACAAATAACCTAGCTCCCCTAATTTCTTCAACTTTTTCCCTTATGGTTAAGTATAAACCTTCCTGAAAGATGGTTCCTAATTAGAATGAATAGGATCTATCTATAGTTGGACGGGAATTTTGACCAACTGTTCACTCGGAATTTGGATGAATTGGGCCTCTTCCCAAGATTGGATGGTTCAACCCTAAAACGATCTATTTCCAAGATCCAGCAATGCAGAATACATACGTATCTCTATATATATTGCATATACTATATATATATATACACCTGGAAGTAATAAATATATAAACACCTTATATATAATTAATTATATGATATACATTACATGTATAATCATAAAGATTACAGTGCACATATGTGCACATCACATAGACATAGATGTCAGCACAGAAAATGTATAATATTAATATATGTCATCATATGGTTCAACCCGCAAATAGCTGTAATCCACCCATCAAACTCCCTGCGAAATTGCTGCTTCAAGTCGCCGTCCAACAGGGTGTTTCGGAGGCATTTCCTCAATGGGTGATGAGTGATGGAAATACACCAAACATTTCATAGGGATATACTGGTAGAACCAGCAATATGGGGATATAATTGGATAGATATACGGGATCATATAGGAATATAAAATGGGATCGATATATATATATATATATATGCCTGGATGACAATTCGCACTGCAAAACAAAATCAGGGTTTCGTACTAGATTTCATGAAAACTGCTCCAAAAATAACAAATTGTAAACATCATTAGGCAATCTGGAATTGAAATTTGTGATGCTTTGCAGTTACCCAAACCAAAAACATGCCAAACACAAGGCAAAATTCGTGCACAATCTGGCGCAATTCTAGCGCACTAATAAAAAACAACCAAATACAGACCCGGAAATCAAAACGTTTCAATCGGCTATGCTTTCGGCAATCGCGCTATTGAAACTCATACTTGTCATATACTGTAAATGAAACAACATTTTCTCCTTACAGTACCCAAGACCAATGTGAATAACCCCTATTCCTCCTATTTTCAACCCTTCCAAGAACATATGTCACTTCAAAAAATCCAGGCAAACAAGGCGGATAGCGCAGTGGTTGAAGTTTCAGGCAAACTATTCAAGTCATGTAAGCATCAAACTATAAACTAGCAATCTCAGTTCTTGGTGCATCTTGGTTCATCTTGGTACCAAGACACCCCTTGCCATCCATGCTGACATCCACCAGACCGGCCTTCCGCCATAGGTGCAGCTGCCATCGGTTCAGCAGCAGCAAATGCTGCGCTACAACCCTCGCTGGCAATGATTCCTGGTGCGGGTGCGGTTGGGCAGTTGGTAGCCGAAGATGTTCAACGCGTGAAAATAACTGGGTCAAAACCTGATAGATACACAGTATTTCTAACAGTTAGGGAAAATCGTGGAAAATCGAGGTGTCGGTACAGGATACCAGTTTTTTATCAGTAGTTCAATTAATTGACCAATTCGATGTGAACCACCCTCTGTGAAAATCAACCGATTGGTGGGTAAAGGACATGATAAAAATCATGAAATATCCCTTAGAAACTTCAAAGCCTAGGAGAAGATCATGCGTAAGATACACTTGGGGACCCAGGGTACTTCTACATAGATTACTACTACTTGTGCAATATATTATACTATGTTGCAATCACTAAAACAACAGGGGAAACAACCAACCACGACCGGTCTCAGCTCGACTATCATCCAACTCGACTACACTGCCCACCCTCGATCCAAATCCCTCAGAGGAGATGTCGTCACCAAGATTGCTGGGGCTCTGATCAAGTAGGATGAGTATTTTCAACACTCCCCAAAAACAATTTGATCAGAAACCACACAAGTCATTGCCAGGGATACAAATCCGTTTAGAACCAGGGATGCAAATCCGTTAGAACCAAAAAGGAATCTTTGGTCGACGAGGCTGAGTGATGTTGCTTTCCCCTTGAGGCGCACTTGGTGTGTGTCTGTGTGTGGCATGGTGCATGAGGGTGTCTTCATCAGCCAGGGTGTGCATGCCTTGACTGAGAACACTGATGATGAGTGATTGAACTGCAACGTACTTCGTCAGGCCATCCGCCAGGTTGTGGGGACCTGGAAGCAACCTCAATTGAGCATTTCGCCCTTGTGCCCTGCTCGGAGAGCGGCGATGTCTAATGCCAAAATCCGATCACAAGGAAGTCCTGCTTGAAGTCGGATTTTGGGTCGAGAAGCTCACACAAACAGGCTCGGAGGAATTCAGCATGTTCAACTGCTTCACACAAGGCCATGCTCTCGGTGGCCATTGACGACCGCGCAACTCTTTTTAGCCCATGGGACAGCCAATACATGCAAGCCACTGGAACTCTCTTAGTGGTCACTTCTTCGGTGGTGATCAACAAAAACATTCCCCCCTGAGATCCTTGCCTGGGCATCTTTCCGGGGGAGGCATCACTTACAGCCACAAGCATAGGTTTCTGAAGATTAATCCCGGGGATCAAAAGAGAACAAGAGTATTGCTGTGATCGTTTCACCTGTGTGTTGGCTTGCTTGGCGGTGGCATAAGTTGCTTGAGTCAGGCTCTGTTGTAAATGGCTCACCTCAAAGCTAAGATCAGGACTTGTGGATTCAGGCGGCACCTGCTTTTCTTCTGAGATCCTCACGAGTGTCCTGGCTCACCTCCTTGTCATCTTCCACCAATTGTTGTTTGCTGATGGGAACTTTTGGGATTTTATCCGGGTAGTTTGGTTGGGAAATTTCAATGGCAAAATCGGAACGTTGTTTCACATGTCTTCCCAAATAATCAAACTCACGAACAAACCACTTTCCAAACGTCAATTGGCTCTTCATTTTGGTAAGAACAGCTTCAAAAGTGGAACAACCAGTGATAAGAAGATCATCCATATGAACCGCAACAGCCCCCATCAACTTTGTTACCATGAGAGTCACGGGCCCAATACAAAAAGACACATTCGTTACATCATCCGCATTTCCTCAAATCCGGACTGAACACACACACACCTGTCGAAGACGTCGCCACCACAACCGAGGTGCATTACACAAACCGTACACCCCTTTTTGCATTTTTCAGTAAATCCCCATAACGGACTCCCCGCAATCCCTTCTTTTGGTGGCCTAAGATACAAAGATCTATGATCGAACGCACCTGACAACAGGCTGTAGAGGTATCCCCACCTTGCAGAACCCACTTATAGCTGGCTGCTAGCAAGAGAACCAGATTGACTCCCATCGTGTCTGCAGTTGGTGCATCGGTTCGAAGCAGACTGATGTCTGGGTCAAGATGGCCTCCGCATACGAGACGAGCTTTGCTGATCAAGGTCTTTCCGATATCATCCTTGTTTGTCAGGATGACTCTGGTACTCTGGGACGTGAAAGTCAGTGCATATGTGGAACCAAGGTAAAAACTGCATGGGACGCCGCGCATTCAGGAAGTCAAACAAGTCAATGCAACTAGGTCTAAAACACCATGGGACGCACTATGTAGAAGTGTTATCCCTGGCAGTGCACTTTTCTATGGCCAAATTTTCCAAATCCCCATCAGGACGCGTCTCCACACATGAATCTCAAATATGTCTGAGTAATAATCTGAAGGAATGTTTCTGGTGGCTTTCCTGAAGGAATTTGATAAGGAATGGAAGACTTCGGGATTCGAATGTTGCTAAGTGAATGTACAGTTGCAAATCTCATCCACGTTCTCTGCCCTGTGGTACGGCTATCTTTTTTCCGCTCATTTGCTCTTCGGAACAAACTGCAACGACCTCATCTTGCCATAGGCCTGCAGGAAATCAATCCTCTGCTTCTTGGTTTTACTATAGAACTTGCGCCAGCCGCATGGCACACCGCTTACGCCAGACAAAATCTCTTGCTTCTCTGCCCAAAAGCCGCGCCTTGCCCAGAAGCAGCAACACAAGCAACAACAACAGCAGCAGCAGCAGACCAAGCAGCAGACCATTGCAAAGCCTTTCCAAAACCTCTCCGAGCTGGGTTTTGACTGGCTGCAATTTTAACGAGGTCCGAACGAGGTGCAAACGAGGTCCGAAAACAAAAATTTGGGAGACTGACCCCCTAAGTCTCCTGACAAACTCTTTGGTAGCCACACGCTTTCGCATTCTTTTCAGAACAGTCAGACTCAAGAGCTTTCAGCTGTGGAGCAGAAGAGGAAACCAAGCCAAGTTGCAGCTGCAGGCAAGAGCAAGGAGAGAGAAGAGGAGACAAAGGGCGAGTAAGGGAGACAGAGGGGAGACAGAGGGGAGACAGAGGGGAGACAAAGGGACGCAAGCTTGGCAATCAAGTATACAATTGCCACGACTTTCATCTTTGGGAGTATAGTGGGTAAACCCAAAAAGATATGACAGGTAAGCGTCGTATGCCTATGCGAAGTGCCAAAAAAAACATCAGTAAGTTAAAGTGATAGGCGCTGCCCATGCGGGCCTTTCCCCATAGGCACTTGTTATAACATCGACCCAGTATTCGTCGGTGTTTGTATGAATCTTGCACAACAGAGCGAGCCACAAGTGATGTACAAAACTCCCAAAACACAAGGGAATAGCTACAACCATCTGCATGGTATCCATGAAAAACTCACGATAAACCATCAATTGGAGACAACACAAACATGCTAAACACCAACTGGACGCAACATCGCACCGACTTCCAGAAAATTCTCCCCCACCTAGGACGCACATTTCATTGAAACGCTTTGACTTCCACAACTAGGAGTAGGAAGGATACGTTCTTTCGGAATCTGTTTTGCTTCAGCTGCAGGAACCACAGTCACAACTTTCAAATCTAAAAAGCTCTGCCACTCTTTGTCCATGGCTTGGCGGAACTTTTCCGTGGACTCGGTGCCAAGCTGGTGGGATTTATATTCCTTGGCTGTCTTTGCTGCCTCCCTTGAGATTTTTGTGTGATCTCTTTGAAGTGGTTCATCCACTCCCACAACAAGGGCAATTCGTTTGTGAACACACATGCATGACTGACATGTTTCTTCCATGAACTGAAGCGGAACATGATATAGGTGGTACATTTTGTTCCTCTAACTGTTCAAGGTCCTGAAGCAATTCTCATTTCCGACAAGAAAGCATCAACCACTTCGGGGGTCTCTGTTTCATCATGAACACTTCAAGCTTACTTTGTTTTCTCCCCATTTTGGATGATCCCCGATGATCATATTTGGAAGAATACTGATTGTTTTGAACCTTGACTGAAGCCCTCTGTTTTTGTCGCTCTTGAACATGTTCTTTCCATGACTGAACAGGCCCATACGGACCCGTGATGTCATCCAACTCTTCCAGGGTACCCTTCATCCACTCCTTCCCAGACCCTATGGTTGGACCGCATTGTCCGCTACCCCCTTCCTCAACATCGGACATGTCCCGAGGTTCAACAGACATATGGGGCTCCGGCAACGATGCAACCGGGGGCATATCATGCATGATCCTGCTCTGGTGGTTTTGAGATCTCAACGCTTGGGTCTGGACAGTCTAAGGTGGACATGTGAGGGCATTGGCTTCGGTTCTGGTTGCTCTGGCATGACCGAAGCAGTTTCATTCCCGTCCCCTGCAGCCATTTCTGCATCTGTGTGGGACGGTTCCACATGAGGTTCTTTCGGTGGTGGCGGTGGTTGCTCATCATAAAATTCCGGTGGTGGTGGTAACATCGGATTCTACCAACCCCGGGAATATCTCCCACAGAAACTTGTTCGACCTGGGGCCGAAGGTTCGCTCCCATCAAAAGCCGCTTGGGACAAGTCTAAAAGCCCTCTACTTTGGACCATGACCTGACAGTTGTTTCTGGTGATCCAGCAACTCTTCTTGCACCATTTCCTGGCCCACGACCTCCTCTTCCGTGGCCGATGTGGCCGGTCTGACATTTTCTACGATTATTTTCAACAGAGTACGCCGCCAACTAATCCGCAAAGTACCCGAACCCTGTTGGGAAACACAACCGCAGGGCCATGCCATGATTGGGTGTGATTGGACCTACTCTGATTGGGTCTACCCGCATGCTGCAAATGATAGAACTAAACCGTCTCACCAGGAACAAAACTCTCCCTTTGTTGTCGGGTTTTTTCCAAAAGAGCACGGCGAATCAAATTGGAATTGCCCAGTTGAAGCCATGTAGTCCTAGCCGTTTCTCGCATGTTGACTTTTCGAGCAAGTGGACCTCCAGCCTGGACATGATCATGAATGGGAATGTCATTGGGACAATCCAAAACCGAACCAGGAAGGGGATTATCATACCCAAAAAGCCACTGATTAGTACTGAAACCACTGTCTTGACAAGCTGTTTTTGGCCATGGTGGTTTCCTGCAACACCCATCGAAAATCCGCGTGGTCAAGACCTTGTAAGTATCAATGAGCTTCCTAGCAATGGTCTTGGCAGTGGATCTATGACGCTCAACCATCCCTCCATGCCAGTGTGTTTCCACCGGAAAGATAATGGAAAGAGTGCCACATTGTTCAGGCAAACTCATCAAAATCCGTTCGGAATTCGCTCCCTTGATCATAAACCAATTCCTTGCAACGTGCCTATCCAAGCTTCTGCAAACAGTGTTGCCACCTCCTTCCCACTCCGTTTGGGCATATGTCTCAGAAGGTGATATGAGGTGGCATAGTCGACCATGGAGAGGACAATATGGGGCTGGTTTTGACAATCTTGCAAGTAAAACAGATCAACCCCAACACTCTCGTTAAATTGGTCAGCTTTACAAACTCCAACCCTTGGTGGATCCTTAGGAGCCCGAGCCCGGTCACAGGAATCGCACTTGATTCACTTGGCAGCTTCGACAATCTCTGGCTTTGCCCCTCCCATCGGAGGGTTCTAGCCAAGGTGCTGTTGGCTGGGTGTCCAAACTTATTTATACAGTGCAACTTGTAAACAGGTGAATCCGGCTCCCGCGTTTGCGTTTCAACGTTTGATTGTTCATGTTCATGATCATGACCATCATTATCATGCTCTTGTTCTTCGACAAACACTTCATACGGTAACACGGACCCCCCCAAGGACCAGGATGCAAAACAGCCATGACTTGTTGTGGGGGGTTCCAACCAAGATCTGTTCAACTGTGGCCAGAATGCGATGACACAAGTCTAAGGGCCAGGCACCGCACCTCTGAGATCTCGACACCCACCTGCCATCAATCTTTTCATTGGAAATGACGTGTTCATCTTGGGGACCCTGTTTAGGCTTCGTGACATCTGCAGGTGGCTGTTAGGTTCGGGACCAATCTAGGGTCGGTGCACTGAAGACCAGTCGGTTTCTTGACTCCCAACTTGTCCTGTTTCTGGATTCGCAGACCGAATCTGCACTGATCATGCGGGCAGCATGCCCACTCAGGAAATTTGAGCTCCGACCAAGCTGCAGATTTCTCGGGGTTTTCCACCACATGAAATGACTTCCCATCTCCCGCAAACTGTTTATGTTGTTTCATCCCCTCTTTGGAATGGTGTCTACAAAACTTCCACAACCGACTGGCATACTTTCTTTTCTTCAACAATCTGAATCATTTCAGCTGTCTCTTTGTGGGGTTTCGGGGAATGATATTTTGAAGAGGAGAATATGGCCCGCACGGAGGTGCCCATGAAATGAGATCTGATGACTGCTCGGTGATTACCTCCGAAACCTCTGCCTGTCCAGACTTTGTGGTCAAGTCGACTCCATTGTGTCCCATGTCAACATCTACTGGCTGAAGACACTGCCAACTGTGAGTGTGCCACTTGTGTAAAATGCATTGAACCCGCAAACACCTCCAACAGCACCGGTTGTTTTTGAGATCTGAGGGCAACATCTGCACTGAGGCAAGCGACATCTTGGCAAAAACACTGGGCCACCTCTAAGGAATCTAGAAGTTCCCATCTTTCAGCCTTGGACAGTGTCTTTCGGTGACACTGAAAGATCTAATTATACACGGCTACCTGAGCAGTCAATTCTGTTTGGCTGGTGGGAATCGAGCCTGGGGCATCGTGGTCACTAACTCGGCCGGGGGCAGGCAATGTGCCTGCCACTCGATCCGCTCGGACTCATCGAACGTCTGCGGTGAAGTTCTTCATCAATGGATCCGTAGCCGTGGGAGCTGGTTGGTGCCAACGGTCTCGATGATCACCATGCCACTGGGGCTCTCCACGATCTTCTCTATCTTCATGTCTCCTTCCCCTGTGCCGGTTCTGTGGCCTACGGCGACGTCAAGTCTCACGCGCGGCTGCTTGAGGTTCCAGGGAAGGTTCACCTTGTGGGACTTGTTGCCATTGATCCTGTTGGATCGGTCCGACTTGCTGGCGTCAGTGGAGATATGCTCACTGGGACGTCACAGGCGGCGTCGCCGCTTCCAGCTTGCGCCATCAGTCAAACTTGAACAAAGCATTTGACAAAAGGGGCTGAGACCAGTTAAACCAGAAAGGATACCCCTCGCCCTTCTAAATCTCTCTCGAGAAAGATTGAGCCAGGGCTCCGCTACCAATGTTGGAATCACTAAAACAACAGGGGAAACAGCTAACCACGACCGGTCTCAGCTCGACTGTCATCCAACTCGACTACACTGCCCACCCTCGATCCAAATACCTCAGAGGAGATGTCGTCACCAAGACTGCTGGGGTTTGATCAAGTAGGACGAATATTTTCAATATACTATATATATATATATATATCTATATATAATTACACTATATATTACAAATTCTAAATATTACCGGATATATCCGGATATATTGCATGTATACATAAACCATCACTATCCATCATGGGCCGTTGGCAAGGGCTCAGTCTCCAAGATCTCATGAGGATGACCAGGCTCATCCCTGCATCCCCTCGTTCAACGTAGCGGACTGGAAACTCACCGTCTATTTGTTAAAAAAAAGGTCAATCATACAGTTATGGCCATTTATTAGTTATAAGTGCTTATAACCCCATTTATAGAATGTATCCTCCCATTTATAACCAGTTGTAACTGGTAAATGGCAATAACTGTAATAACTCATCTATAAATAAACAATTTTTCCATAGTGATGTTGGGGTATATTGATGTATTTTGACAGGCTTAAAGTTTGAAAGGAAAACTTTAACCGGACACCCACCATATTTGGTTTTATTTATATCGAAGAATCGTCTCCATGAGACGGGGCTTCAACCATCTTTAACCTCTGATGCTAACGGCTACAACGAGAATCCTAAAAAACTGGTCTTTTCCGGAGAAATGCCCATACTCGAAAATCCTTCCATGCTTTGAGGCGGATTGTGACCCACAAAAACCATGCCTTAGCTTGGATATATACCCTGCAAAACAGAAAATTCATGAAAATTCTCAATCCATGAAAACCCACCATCGACAAATAGATATAGAAGTTGCAAACCTGGAACAATATGAGCCAGTATATGTACACATCATCTTTAACTGGCTACACTTTCAACATCTTTCTTACTTTATTATATCTTTTTTGGCTCTCCATTTCATCGCTGACATCTCGCCGTCCGCCATCCCACCCTTTCGAAAAAATAGGGCCCAGACCATCCGAAGCGCATAGTGTCCACTGGGATTTTCCAAGTTGAGACTCATGTGCCCATCTGCCGCCTGTTCGAAATCCAGGAGCTCCTGGAGAAGCCACGGATGACAAGAAACAGGTGGCGCAGTAGATCCACCGTGTTTTCACGGCACGATCCATGGCCATAGATTGGATCAAATTGGGATATAGCCGACATTTTCAGACACATCTCTTGTGGCTAGTTTTTATATCCAATCTATACCATTCCTGGTTGGTGGTTTCAACCATCTTGAAAAATATGAGTTCGTCAGTTGGGATGATTATCCCATATATGAAATGGAAAATAAAATTCATGTTCCAAACCACCAATCAGAATCTATACCATTCTATAACGAATATCCCTGTTCTATCTCCACTGCAGCCTGTCAATTCAGGTCCCCAGAATCTCATCGTCTCATCGTCCTTCAGCGAGTCCGTGTTGCGTGCCGCGTGCATCAAGGGTTGCGGCGACATCAGCGATGGCAACATCCGAATGAGCGTCTCTTTGGCTTTGTCACCTGCTCCAGAGCTAGCTGGGCTGGGGATCTGACGATGATTTCGGGGTTGACCCAAGGAAACCATGAGGCAACGGGGCAACGGGTGGTTTTTGTGGCAGGCCATGGCTTTAGAAAACTCACATGGCAACACCAATCTGAGGGTCAAATTCTTGTGGGATTCTTATCATGGCCCGCAAAAATATGGAGTCCTCAAGTTGGAGAAAACACGTCCCAGCTCCGCCTTGGTTCATGTAGATCGCCATCACCTGTGGGGATCTGTGGGGTGGGAGTCTTGACGTTGGGCTCGTGATGGATCTTAAGATGTTTCAACCTGGTATCAGATTCTTTGGGGCCAACAGACCTACAAACTATTGTCGAATCTTGTCGGTGGGAGTCCAGTTTTGTGGAAACCGCAGTCGATCATTGTGGAGTCATCATATTACCCCAATTTCTTACTGCCCATAGACTCAACTACTGTTGATATTTCGAAGATGTTCCACGTCCGTGTAAGATATAATATATATATATATATTTATATATAATGTTATATTGGTTAGAGAACCGCCCAAGTGTACCTGGTATTGGCTTGAGCTAGATTCAAAATGTTCAAATGCCAACCAGTTATATATTCGTATACCCACTAGATTTCAGAAAAGTTGGATTTCCCGTTCGGGAGACAGTCGACATCACCTTAGGCAATCGAAGGGCTTTTCCACATTTGGGTACCTCTATAGGGATATATCCAGTTGATCATGATGTTCCCCATGATTTCATGGCCATAAACTGCCATAAATTGCTGTGTAACCCGTTTTCGGACTCAACCGGTTTTCTCCAAGGCTCCTTTGAGGAGGGCGCCATTTGTTGGACAACACAATTTGGCGCCATTGGATTCACCACAAGTGCCGTCTAGTTGGATTATATACTTGGTGGTGAACTAGTAAGTAGGTGGATTCACTGATTAACCCACCAAAAAGTCACCCTAGTTATAGGTGGATTAAGCCCACAAGAATCCTACTGAAATCACTAGGGGTTTTCCACCTACTGAAATCACGATCCGTGGTAGTAGTTCACCACCAAGTAGCCATGAATCTTTGGGGGGATGGTCAATCAATGTCATCAATCCATGGTCATCAATCCATTCATCGGGGATACCCGGTCTGGTAAACGTTTACATAACTATGGAAAATCACCATTTTTAATGGGAAAACCCACTATTTCTATGGCCATGTTCAATAGCTTTTTGTATGTTTACCAGAGGGTAACATTAACAAGAATGGACCTACAGGCTGGGATTTTAGTAAACGATAGCCAAGTCAGTGAACATAACTTTAGTTATACTAGGGTTTATGGCAATTTGTGATAGGCAATGGTGGGTATAAACCAACAAGCATTTCACTGTGCCCACCTTGTAATAATAATGGGATGGCCATTTTTTCCACACAACCATAGTACCCATTTTATATACCCATTTTATATCCCAGCACATACCATGAAATAGTCTTCTTATGTTCATATTAATGTTCATTAACTCCCAGCACATTGGCAAGGCATCAGTTCCTTCCCCCCATCGGGCTTGGGTTCGATTGGGTGCCATGTCCTGCACATCACCCAAGTGAAAAGTGATCCACCAAAAAAAACGGGCTACCCTCACAGTTTGCCATTGAAAATGGCCATTTAGTTATAGCTCATTGATTCTCATTGATTTACCGAACTTAAAGATGGTGATTTTCCATATCTAAACGTTTACCAGGCCGGGTATGTTGGGATTTCCCTTACGAAACCATTCTTCCAGTGTCACCTGTTCCGTGGAGAGTTGAAAGTAGTGCAACAAGGCCATGACAAAGGCGTCGAAGATGGGCCCCTTGAGGCTACTCACCTGCCGCAAAAAACACCACGTAACATGGGCATCGTATATACAGAACATCCCATGGTATTACAACAACTTTCCGCATGTATTGTATATATAAATAATATACGTACTGTACTATACATATATAATTATTGATATAATGGTAATAAAAATATAATTAAACATAATTATATAAACATAATTAATAACCAATAACAATGATAATAATAAGAAATGCACAATTAATAGTGATAATTAATAATAGTATAGCAATATATATATATATATAATATAATAATACAATTATACAATTGCATTAATGGGGGTACCAACCACCCAAACCAAACCAAAACAACAAAAAACGCTCCTGAGGGAACCTGCTCTGCTCGTGTTCCCTTCAATCACAACGGCCTACCTTTTGGTCTGTCTGAACATAGCGGATACTCCCAAAATTGTTATTATTCATGGGGAACTGATGATCACTTTATCCACTGTTGGCAGTTGGTGATGTGCATCCCTATTCTCGCTATATTTTTCTATGGGGCATCATGAATTGCCATCTTTTGGTGCATCCTCGTTTTGAATAAGATGGATTCCCCTATTATCATCCAAAACATATATTGGGTATACTATAATTCCCGAACATTTCAGAAACACTACAGAAACCCATGGATTTTCAACAAACCATACATTGGATTAGATTATCCATAGATTATCCATCATTATCCATAGATTATCCATATAAAATCCATGGATTGTTCCAGCCACCCAGACATCCAGCCGGATTCACCGCGGCGCCGCCTTCTGCAGCACCGCCAAGGCCCGGCGCCTGGACGTCAAGGTGCGTTTCCTGCGTGGAAAGGGCGGGGGCTCCGCCATGGATTCCTATGGAAACGATGGTAACTCAAACTAAAACAACTCTGATTGAACTATATAGAAACTGTTTATAACTATAGAAACTGATTTTGAGTAACTATGATTGAAATTAGAAATTATCTTAGTTTGAGTAACTATTTCTGATTTGACATGATTTAACTATAGAAACTCATTGAGTAACTATGATTATCCACCATTTTCCCTTAAAAAAACATGGCGTAAAGATGGGTAGTATGCAAAACATCTGGGAAAATGATCGTAATTCACTCCCCTGAAATTTCGGGATAAATTTGCGGCAACTCTGGGATAGTTACCCGGTTACATCCAATTCCCATGATTCCAGGCTTCGGTCACGACGTGAGGTGACTATCGCCCAAATGTATGGATGTTGGGACGGGATGAACCCAAAGTGGCAATTCGGACATTTCCCGATTTTCTTCCACTTACCTAACCTAGTTCATGAAGCCAACAAAACAGGTAATATGGTAAAATCACCCCTGCCAGCGACCTATCTCATTGCTGAAGCTTAGGGCAGGTGATAGCAGCATGATGTGCCTTCTCCGGAACATCCGTTCCACCACAGGGGAAAACAAACAGTCGTGGTCGCCCTCATCTTTCAGCAAGAAGTCACTAAGGCTCAGCCTGTGCCGGACAGGTGGGCGGACATCGTTGCCGCAAAGATCCGATACAAAACTATATTAACACATCCATAACAGAGATATTGTTTGCATTTGTTTGCCGTATATACAAAAAATATGTTGGGTATAAGATTAAGTTAAAACCTCGAACCTAGAAGGTCAGTATCTCACAGTCTTGAGAATACCTTAATCACTTACATCAACATGCACAGTGGTCAGTATCTCACACATCTCACATATTGAATCTATGATGCAAGCTTATACAATATGGTGCAAACAATTAATACATCTATATATACACCCTTTAGTGGTAAAAGCAGCTTTCATCAACACCTAGACTTGGGGATGGTGTCAATATGAGTTTTAATCCCAACCCAATCCTGGTTGGTGGGTGGCCTACCCCTCTGAAAAATGATGGAGTTCGTCAGTTGGGATTATGACATATGACATTTCCAATATATGGAAAAAACTCACAAATCCAAACCACCAACCAGAAATGAGTTTCAATCCCAACAGGATGGGGCCCCCAAGATAGCTAAGTTGGTTTATAAATGGCTTAACTATGGTTTATGGTAGATATAACTATAGATAACTATGGTATTCATGGGGTTAATAAACCAACAAACATCACTGGGGGGCCCCATCCTGAATCAAAATGGTGAAGTTTCTTGGGGATGGTGACGTGGCCGGACTCACCGCCAGGGAACAGCAATTCCAAAGTCCCAGAGCTGGGGACGTTCCAAATGTTCTTCCGCCTTCGGACACCATCCACCTGGGAAGGCCGCGTTTGATGACTTTCATGGGAAAAAACACCGGGATTTGAGTTGGGATAAAAAAAACACATGTGCTCACCATGGTGCTGGAATAATTGGAATATGAATTCCACCATTTACCCAATTTTTTATGGCCCAGTTTTGTAGGTAAATATACTAGCACCATGGAGCATATGGGATATGGATGAATTATTTCATGATATGTGATATGTCATGATATGTCTTGATATTTTATTGATGTTCATCATTGTTAACCCCCCTACAATAGCTGGGATGAAGGTATTGATCCATGGCCATCTCTGAGTCAGACATGCTGGTTTCTGAAGTGGTAGCCATGCTGGCTACTATATAACCATATAGGTACTACATCCCCAAAGTATCCCAAAGTCTATAACAAATCAATATATCTAGGAGGTATGTAACCAAAAAATCCCCCAATCGGAAACTCAAAGTATTCAACGGGATCCGTTGATATAAGGCTCATCCTCGAAACGGTGCCAGCCCGACCGGCCCAAGCGACGTTGTACGGTGCGTTGGATAACGTTGCGCCTGGGGGACACTGATCGCACCATCCCCAAGAGGAAAATGCTGCAAAATGCTGCAAAATCATGCAACATCACCATGTGTGCCCAATCTTCATCAAATCTTCACCCATTTGCAAAGCCAAATGCCCAAGGCTGATAGAGAGATACGAAGCAGGACATGCCAATATATGCCAAGATTTCACATCCGAAACTGCCCCGATGTATCACGTCATTGGGAACTCTATCGCAGATCCTTGGCTCCTCATTGTTAATTGGGAATATGGATAGCCATAGCTCCTGAGTACTACACCAGTGGAATCCAGTGGATAGTCATGTCGATTCATGGCCCCAGGCCATGGGAGGTAAACATCTCGTTGCCATACACCTTAAGTGTTTGATTTGCTAATACAAATATATTTCTGATGAAATTGAGGTTGGTTTAATAATTCCTCCCCCAAAATTGAATACCATCCTAGAATCCCTGATGAAGAATTGGATCTCTTCATTTTGCAGGGACCATATGGGGTGAATGGCGTGTATGTAATCAGCGGGTGATGTATTTTTGGCTTTCCCGCTGGATCGAATAGTAGTGATGATATCCTAGCATATCCCAATTAAATCTCTCGAAACCACCATTTGTTTTGATCCTATTAAATCCCATGAAATGTCGTGAAATCATATGAAATCACATGACATCTGTTGGTTCAATCACGATAAATCCATATAAATACCATCCAAAACCACCGGACGCCAGGCAGCTCTTGATGTACTGGCTGCGGCTGCCATAGTCGCTCAGCTGCGAGAGCAAGAGCCGAAAGGCGGTACGCTGACCGGGCTGCGCCATGTCGAAGCTGTATTGCCCCGAAGGGTCCTGAGGGGACCATGCTGGAGATGATCCAAGATGATCCAAGATGATCCAAGATGATCCAAGATGATCCAAGTTGGGCGGTAATTGTAGGGCTTACTTGCAGAGATAAACAGGAAACATGTGAAACATAGATAAACATAGATAAACATAGTGAAATGAGTTCGATCAATCGTACATGGTGTGGCTACTGCATATTTGTCTACAGAACAGGCTGATTTTAAGGAACCCTGAGCATATGCAAGTGATCATAGGTTGTGCACTTAAAAAAGAAATTCTAGCCACGTAGTGAATTCTGGGGATGATCCCTCTATATTAAATAAATATATATATATACATATATAAATATGTATTGTGACAAATAGCAGCCAAAAGCAAGCGCACCAGTGTATGAAGCTGTTGAACGTTGCACCCTCCGTGATTATATCAGGGAGATCGGCTTGGATGTGACAACTAGTTTTAATAGATTACAGCAATCTATGACTGTGGATATTCCCCGAATCTTGCGTATTATGAATGCTTATTACATGTTATTGTTACCCACAAACGACGATTCGTGGAGAGACTCTTTCCAAATCGAAGTGGGCTATGGTTCCGACCCCCAAACATATATTAAACAGCCCTATATTCGAGGAGGATTTCTATGGCCCCATAAGTGGTTTCATCCCATCCACCGTGACGCTGCGTTGGCCAAAAAACCAAATCAAAGAGACCCATGGCCACGTCACGGTTCTCCGAGGCCTAGGTCGATCGGATTTGTTGGGAAAAGCAGATCCTTTTGCAACAGCAAAAAGCAGAGACGTCTCAGACATATAGTATATTTTTCATGTGTTTAACATGTTTTTACTATATTTTTATGTATGCAACAAAAAGCCTGATCCAGTTCTGGGAACAATCCTTTCGACAAAATGTGGCATTTCTTATTCCTTTTGGACACTGCTCAATCGCATCTCAGCCAGCTCCAAGGTCTAAACAAGCAACGTTCGCATATCAAAAGCACATATAATAGGCATGAATGGTGATCGATAAAATTCGATAACTGTGTTTAGCTTATTTCTGCGCTGTGAGTAGATGCGCCAATTTACCGAGGAATTTCTTGCGGGAATTTTTGACGCTTGGTGACCCAAATCCGTCCCAAAGCGGATTGGATTTTTTATCCGTCCCAATTCATCTGGACAGATTCTGATCCCCAATTTTGGACCCTTGTGGTCTGTAACATTTTTGTAACATGTTGTCCTGACCTGAGTCACTGAGCACCAACGATCACCCCATGGAGCCAGCTTGACCCAGTCCGGACCTGCACGTCTTCCAATCGAATTTCCGCCAGTCGTGGACATTTCTCCGAGGACAACAACCGAGCCCTTAGGCAACGAAGGTGCCGTGATTCAACTGGGTCGTTGGACCCCCCTTGAGTGGCCAACCTGCTGTTTCTATGGGGTGCTACCAGGTTGTCGGAGCAATTTCCTTTCAGTTGCTAATGGAGGAATATATTAGGTGCATTGTGCATCCTACTTAAAACCAAGCTCTCTTGCAAATTTCAAACCCTCCCAGCATGGCTGCAGGGCAAAATCTAAAGCCAAACATATTCGTCGTGTTTGATCAAAATGTTTCGACTTAATCTTCGCGTTGAAAAAAACAGTTTGACCCAGAACACATCGGAAAAAAACGTGTCGCTACGCCCCTGTGGCTTGCTAGAGGGTACCCACAAAGGGTGTTGATGGGGAATGTTTAAGCGTGTTTCATACGGGCATGGACTCAACCATGTCAAACTCATTCACCCAACCATTTGAAGCTCAGGAACAAAATCAGAAATCTAAACAGAATTGAAACCTGGGGATGTTCAGTCCACTTCAAGATGGCAATACATACAAAATCATACAAACTTTTCCGAAGTTGGTCCTGACTCTCTGCGTGTAGTAGTCAGTTACTTGGCTTCCAAAACATTGGGGTGGCAAATGCTGCAAAATGGTCGCCTGGCTGTTGTTCCCTTTGCCTTTCATTTCTATATACATATATACACACATAGCAACCAAGATGTTTCCAGGATGTCTAGAAACATCTATAAAAAAGATAGAAACATCTAGAAACACCATGATGTTTGCCAAAAAGATAGAAACATCTAGAAATGTATATAATATCCTAATGTTAGATGGATATACATACAATATTAGTCTTTATTATCCAGGATGTTTCCAGGACCCCATCCGGACCCCATCCCGCCAGATCTCCAGCATCGCCGAGACTCAAGGACCCCAATCCCGCCTGCCCCAGAGGATTGGTGGAGACGTCCAGCAGCTCCTAAGCCCCGTGAACTGCGCTGGTAACGTTTAAGGCAAAATGGGACCCAGCATATATCGAAATATGGAATCCGATTTTCTTTTATGTTTGATGATATGTAATAGTCATACTAATATATTTACAATGATATCAATACTAATAATACTCATACTATAAATAAATAATCAGTATTATCAATAATAGTAATAATTGATTAATTCATAAGAATAATAATGCAAAAATAAGAATTTATATATATATATATATATACTACTATATACATATATACATTCCTTAAAGGTTGGGGAATAAGTCAACCGGTTAGTCACTAACCCTCGCAGCGTCAGGTAAGCACAACCTTTTTCTCAACCCTCATTCTCTATGTTCTTCCAACCTGTATTCCTACAGGATAATGCATTGGGTATGCCTATAGATCAATCAGCCCTGCTGATGGTGGCATTCTGTTCCAGTCAGGCTCAGATACTGGATCCTTCCAGGTATCATTTCACACCCGCTGGGACAGTACCACCCCCAATCTATAGGTATTCACAGATCTCTGTGCAAAACGACCCCGTCTGCAGCGCAGACTACAAGTTATGAGGATACCCCACAGAGGTCCTAATAACAGGGTGGGTCAAAATCTCCGATTTAGGGAGGGCAAGGAAAACAATGCTGCTATTTTGGATCAATACTTACTTGAGCCAAAATTGGCATTGATTTTACCTTATTTAACCAACCACCAAGGAATGACCACTGTCCACCCAGGCCTGCCAAACACTAGACAGTCATATAATGCGGGCTACCATAGGTAAAAACACTAGGGTCACCCACAAAAATAATTTCAAGGAATTAATCTGAGGTGCTTCTAGTACTTGTTTTTTTCAAAAACACTCTAACCCGCCTCAAAATAATTTCCTTTGACACTACCCACCCCCCCAAAATAATTTCTGAAAGGTTGCAAATAAAATATTTGGTAGGGTTCCACTATTACTCAAAAACACTTCCCTTACTTCAAAATAATTTTGGAAATTATTTCGATGTGGTTTAAGATGGTTTTGGATGATTGAAAAAAAGTAGAACCACCTCAAAATAATTAGCAAAAAACACCACAAAATTACTTTGGGGGGTCACCCTACCTCTCCTCTCGAATGCACCCGACAAGCATTAAACCACTTGGAGGTTGTGGCACAAATCAAATAAATCATCTCTAAACCGACCCCCTTTCACACCCAAAAATTATTTTGGGGGGTGGTTCACTACTGAACCACTTATTATTTAGACCATCGATTTTTGGACAAAAAAATCTGAATCGACCCCTTCCTACCCAATAAAATATTTTGGGGGTGGGGGTACCACCAGACCACCCCAGAAAAAATAATAGCCTAACCTGGCAAAATTAATTTCCCCTTGAATAGTTCAAAAATACTACATTGAACCAAATTGAATCCAAATTGAATCAAATTGACCCAAACTGTCTCCAAATTGCCTCAAAGAGACAAACCCTGAGAATTACCATGAATTACTTACTGAACTACTTATTTTTTAGAACATCGACTTATCATCGACTTTTGGGCAAAGAAACCTGAATCGATTCCTCTCTCACCATAAAAATATTTTGGGGGTGGGGGTACTACCAGACCACCCCAGAAAACAAAATAACCTAGCCTTGCAAAACTCAATTTCCCTATGAAATAATTTTCATCCTGGGTGTCTGGTAATTATTTTATACAGTTGGGACTCTATGAAATAATTTCCCCAGTTCAACTGAGAAATTAATTATTTTGAGGTGCCTTCGGTTGTTTGCTTAAAATTATTTCAAGGTGCTTCAACCTCTGTAGGTCGTAGGTGGAAAATTATTTTGCACCATCATCGGGTTACGGGTGCATAGATTATTTTGCTATGGTTCTTGTTCGCTGATGATAACATAAAATTTATGTTAAAAATTTGAAATTATTGAAAAATATTCCATAACCGACTCCCACCTCAAAATAATTTCCTAAGGTAGGACGCATTATATATATATATATATTATAGACAACTAATATGTAATATATATATATACGCGTATATCGGCAAATGCCTGGGCTTTCCCCGGAACCGCAACCACGACAGGCAACGCATCATCATCATCATCATCATCATCCATCAATCAATCCATCCATCAATCAATCAATCAATCAATCAATCGCATCAATCAATGAATCAATCAGTCAATCAATCAATCAATCAATCAACCAAATCAATCAAATCAATCAATCAATCAACCAATCAATCTATCAATCAATCAATGAATCAATCAAATCATTCAACCAAAAAACAATCAAACAACCAATCAACCAATCAAACAATCAATCAATCAATCAATCAAATCAATCAATCAATCAAATCAATCAATCAATCAATCAATCAAATCAATCAATCAAATCAATCAATCAAATCAATCAATCAAATCAATCAACCAAATCAACAAATCAATCAATCAATCAACCAATCAATCAATCAGTCAATCAATCAAACAAATCAATCAATCAAATCAATCAAGCAGTCAATCAACCAACCAATCAATCAATCTATCAATCAATCAATCAATGAACCAATCAGTCAATCAATCAATCAATCAATCAATCAATCAATCAAATCAATCAATCAATCAACCAATCAACCAATCAATCAATCATCATCATCATCATCAGCAAACCCTTGTTGAAGATCTTCAAAATGAAGATAGAAGTTTAACGGGGGTGGGAGAATTGAACCCTCGTTGAAGATCTTCAATGAATGTAGAAGTTTAACGGGGGTGAGGGGGGTTAATATTCCCTATTACCTTTGTTGATCTTCTCAATCGAATGTAAAGTTTAACGGGGGTGTGGGGTTTAATATTCCCTAGTATCTTTGTTGATCTTCCCACTTGAATGTAAAGTTTAACGGGGGTGGGAGTTTAATATTCCCTAGTACCTTTGTTGATCTTCCCATAGAAATTTAAGGTTCAACGGGGGTGGGAGTTTAATATTCCCTAGTACCTTTGCTGTTTTTCCCATAGGAATTTTGTGAAGTTGCATCAGCATTTGTTTGGGAATGGGAAACCTCTACGCTGCAACGCCTGAGCAAAGCCCAGGCGTTGCGCAAATATATATATATATACATATATGCACATGATAATAATAAAAACAATAATGATAATACTACAAAAATATATACAATAATATTATTACATATATAATGATAGTATATATACTAATATTGTTACATATATAAAATATAATAATGTATATATATATATAATCTATCTATCTATCTATCTATCTATCTATCTACCTATCTATCTATCTATCTATCTATCTATCTATCTATCTATCTATCTATCTATCTATCTATCTATCTATCTATCTATCTATCTATCTATCTATCTATCTATCTATCTATCGTTGTGAAGCCACTGCCACAAGCCTCCAGCCATTGGGGATGGTTTGCCATGTTCGATCCCCCAAAAAAGGCAACTCCTGGACCCCACTGGACCCCGCAATGTCCCATGGAAAAATCCAGATTTACCCTCTGGTAATTTAAGAGTTTGCGAATTGGAAAACCACCATGTTTGATAGGTTAACTTCCCAGAGGGTATCCATTCTACAAGGACCCACTATTTTTCTGCTCCAGATATTGTCCAGATCTCTGCCTCTCAAATGAAGTATCCAAATGTATCCAAGCTTCTATGGATGGATGGGTCTGCAGACCATACTCCAGCATGATGGCCGAACTCTCGTCCAACATATTGTCCTGGGCGTCATCATGTTCCATGCGACGCGTGGAAGGTAGCATATGAAAGAAATGCCTTTCAAACGGGAGTCAGAAAAAAGGTTTATGGTTGTTCTGAACAATTGGAACAGAAGTGCCAAGGTATGTTTTCTTGCGGTGAGGATGAGAGATGAGATGAAACCACGGACTGCTTTGGTCTCTACCGCTTGGTACGCAGGATCTATCACTACCACCCATGTATGGTCATGCTGGGGATCGTTTATAACTACGCTAAGTTATATTGAGTTTACGGCACTAGCAATAATTGCTTGTCAGCCACAATCACACAGGATGGGGCCCCCAAGATAGCTAAGTTGGTTTATAAATGGCTTAACTATGGTTTATGGTAGATATAACTATAGATAACTATGGTTAATGGGTTTTATAAACCAACTTATAACTGGGGGGCCCCATCCTGTATTAGTTTTTCCATTTGGGCCTCTCTCCAAGCGGCTGACAGGTCCAAGAATTTGAGGCTTTTGTCTGCCGGCAATTGCTCCAGAAAACCCGTCATAGGTAGCGAGGCCTCAAGACGAGATGTTCCCTGAAAAAAAAGATATGAGTTGTCCATATGAGAGCACTTCATGTATTGAATTGACATGATAAACTACGATTGAAAACATTGCATAGATTAGATTCCGACTTGGGGATCAATTTTGGATATAAAGGTTGTTGAAAAATATACATTAATGGGAATACAAGAAAATGCAAAAAAAAACATAAAAAAACAATGGTTGGACCGCACAAACATACAAACATAGTTGGTTTGCTGCTGCTGCTTACAAGTTCACCATAGTGCCTCCATTCGACTAATGTTCAACAAACATCGATCAGCAATCAGGTCAACAGAAACCGAAAAACCATCGAGATTTGGTCAAACCAATTTGGGTTCCGACGAACAAATTCGAGGAATGTATCTTATTTTCAATACTGCACAGTTGAAAAAAATAAAAACACTTACTATCACTTACTGTATAACTCTTGCACGAAAACGCTGACGGAAAACACCACCAATCAGTTCAAGAAGGGAAGCATCAACTGATGCCCTCAGAGTTCCTCCGGTGCTGCAAAGGTACCATGCATGAAGCCGTCTTGGCCAAACCCAAGTACCTAGCCAAGCATCAGAGAGGCAACCCTGGAGGAAGCTATGACTGACTGCTCCCCACAAAAGTTTCTGCTAAGCCTGCTAAGCTGTTGAACAGTCGGGGGTCAAACAAGGTAGAAACTTGGTTCAGACCCCGAGTCTTGAAATTCTGCGAATAAAATCCATTTAAATCCACAAAGAACATAATGTTTTAGCAAAAACCAGAGGATCCCAAATCTACGGTAATCATCAGGTTCCTGGCTTGAATCCATGATTGAAGCCACGCAAATTGGAAATTCACCACTACTGAGGCGAAATCTAGGAGAAACATGGGATTTTTGCCAAACATATGGGATTTATGCTGGTTATCCGCCGTTTTGAGCCGAGGAGAGGCCAGTGCAAATTCTAGATTGGTTGACCAACTCAGGTCACCCTCACATTAAAGGTTGAAGGCGAACCTGAACCTCCAACAACCACAATTCGGGCGAATCGTAACCATTTATGATTGGAATTCACCTGACTGGGGACTCTCACAATTTTCCTGTCGAACTCTCGGCTCATTGGTCCCAAAGTTCTTTGGCATTTTTATATTTTAAGTTGGGCTCCCCAGAGCAACCATCATTCACGCCCTATTCCGATGGGTCACCCAATACACCCATATCATATTGTTGAGTGCTTATATACCATTGTATCCCCAAAATATATCCCACGTAAATGGTGTTGTTCATCGCTATTTTCGGGTTCATCATGTCAGGGTGTTACTAAATAAGTAATAACATAGATAGATAGAATGAGATAGATCGATAGATAGATAAATGAGATAGATGATAGATAGATAGATAGATAGATAGATAGATAATGTAGATAGATAGATAGATAAATAGATAGATAGATAGATAGATAGACAGATAGATAGATAGATAAATAGATAGATAGATAGATAAATAGCTTGATAGATAAATAGATAGATAGATAGATAAATAGATAGATAGATAGATAAATATATATAAAATTGATAATGTAGATAGATAGATAGATAGATAGATAGATAGATAGATAGATAGATAGATAGATAGATAGATAGATAGATAGATAGCTAGATAGATAGATAGATAGATAAAGAGATAGATAGATAGAAATATAGATAGATAGGTAGATAGAAAAATCGATAGATAGATAGATAGATCGATAGATAGATAGATAAATCGGTCGATAGATAGATAAATCGATAGATAGATATATAATGTAGATAGATAGATAGATGGATAAGATAGATAAGATAGATAAGAGACATAAGATAGATAATTTAGATAATATAGATCAGATAGATGAGATGGATAAGATAGATAAGATAGATAAGATATATAAAATACATAAGCAAGATAATATAGATAATATAGAAAAATATATAAGATAGATAAGGTAGATAATACATATTAGATAGATAAGATAGATTAGATAGATAAGATAGATACACGTAAAGAAATATAGATAGATAAGAAAGATAGATAGATAAGAAAGAAAGAAAGAAAGAAAGAAAGAAAGAAAGAAAGAAAGAAAGAAAGAAAGATAGATAGATAGATGAGATGGATAAGACAGATAGATAGATAGATAGATAGATAGATAGAAAGATAGATAGATAGATTAGATAGATTAGATAGATTAGATACATACATAGATAGATAGATAGATAGATAGAATGATAGATAGATAGATAGACGGATAGAAAGATAGATAGATAAGATAGATAGATAGATAGATCGATAAGATAGATAAGATAGACAAATAGATAGCTAGATAAAAAGATAGATAGATAGATAAATCGATAAATAGATAGAAAGATAGATAAATAGATAGGTAGATAGATAAATAGATAGATAGATAGGTAGATAGATAGATAGATAGATAGATAGATAGATAAACAGATAGGTAAATAGATCGATAGATAGATAGATAAGATAGATAAGATAGATAAGATAGATAAGATAGATAAGATAGATGAGATAGATATTAAACATCAGATAGATATTAAACATCAGATAGATATTAAAAATCAGATAGATGAGGTAGATAAGATAGATAAGATCATATCGATAAGATAGATAAAATAGAAAAGATAGATACAATAGATAAGATAGATAAGATAGATAATACACATTAGATAGATAAGATAGATTAGATAGATAGGATTCGATAGATAGGACTAGATAGAATTAGATTGAAAGGATTTGATGATAGGATTAGATAGATTGGATTAGATAGATACGATTAGATAGATAGGATTAGATAGATAGGATTCGATAGATGGGATTCGATAGGTAAGATATATAAGATAGATAAGATAGATAATACAGATAAGATAGATAAGATAGACAATATAGATAGATAAGATAGATAATATAGATAAGATAGATAATATAGATAAGAAAGATAAGATAGATAAGATAGATAGAGAGATGGAGAGATAGATAGAGAGAGAGATAGATAGAGAGAGAGAGATAGATAAAAACAAGATAGATAGATAGATAAAAAAAGATAGATAGATAGAAAGATAGATGGATAGATAGATAGATAGATAGATCGATAGATAGATAAACAAATAGATAGATAGATAAATAGATAGATAGATAGATACATAGATAGATAGATAGACAGATAGATAGATAGATAGATAGGATTAGATAGGTAGATAGATAGATAGACAGATAGATAGATAGATAGAAAGATTGGATTAGATAGATAGGATTAGGTAGATTGGATTAGATAGATTGGATTAGATAGATAGGATTGGATAGATGATATTAGATAGATGGGATTAGATAGATAGGATTAGATAGATAAGATCGATAGGATTGGATAGATAGGATTAGATAGACAGGGTTAGATAGATAGGATTAGATAGATAAGATAGATAGGATTGGATAGATAGGACTAGATAGAATTAGATTGAAAGGATTTGATGATAGGATTAGATAGATTGGATTAGATAGATTGGATTAGATAGATAGGATTAGATAGATAGGATTAGATAGATAGGATTGGATAGATAGGACTAGATAGATTTAGATAGATAGGATTTGATAGATAGGATTAGATAGATTGGATTAGATAGATTGGATTAGATAGATAGGATTAGATAGATAGGATTAGATAGATAGGATTAGATAGATAGGATTAGATAGATAAGATTAGATAGATAGGATTAGATAGATAGGATTAGATAGATAGGATTAGAAAGATAGGATTAGATAGATAGGATTAGAAAGATAGGATTAGAAAGATAGGATTAGATAGATAGATCGATAGATAGATCCTACTCTTATGGTACCCCATGATAATATCCCATTCTAACGCCACAAAATCCTGGTGTTCGTTTCCAGTATCTTCATGAAATTTCCAGCCAAGGTCGCTCCACTTGGCTTCCCTTCAGTAAGCTATTGCCTAGCACCTGGGTAGCACACAGCTTGGGATGTAACCAACACGTGACTTAGCCGAGGAAGCGAGGAAGTCAAGAACCATGTGTGAAATTACACGAAAAAGACAGTGAACTTTTGGCTAAGCTACGTCTGAGGATGAGAAACAATCCATAGTGGTTCTTGCAGTGAGTTTGAACATGGGGGAAACGTCTCAAAATTGAAGTTACCCCAAACCCCAGAGGCAACCATCAAGTGACACGAAAGCTTTGGACAAATCGTGAGCGCAGCGGTCAAAGTCCTGCTCGGGATATTCTTTCATCCCATATCTTTGATACTTTTTGAACCACAAAAGTATCATGGGTCGTTGTCAACACAAAAACACACAAAAACAGGTTTGATCCGCGAATCTTGATAGAATCTGGGTATACAAACCATATGAAACAAATGCTATCCCGTTCCTGGCGAAGCTGCCGACGAAAAAAAACACCGTATCTCAGGTCCCACACGCTGAAAGCTTCGGGGTCAAAGTGGTTGTAGCCCAGATCCTGCATCCAGCAACGCGATCATCACCTATTGGGATCCCTGGGGAAAAACCTGGTGGTTACTATGACTTATAGGGTTCAGTAGGTTCAGTATGCTCTAGCAAACTGATCATGGTCTCTATATTTATGAGGTAAACATAAATTAATGCAAAACTGATCAGCAATGCATTTTTTGTTGGGAAACCAAGGATTGCCCGTATCTACGATAGTGATAGTCTACCTCATGCTAAGATTGCGTACCCAAATTAAAATCAATGCATAGCAAAGTACCGCAAGACAGCAACTTCAGAAGGGAGATCCTTTCGCATATCCTAAGATCTATCCCCAGCTGTATCACAAGAGTTCCCATTTGCATCGTCCCAAGTGCAATCCCAATAATTCCCAACATCTTGTGGAAAAAATCCACCCACCACCATTTAGTTTGATGATGTTCTCATTTACATTGCCATTTATAGCATTTATAGGGGATTTCCCAGCCAGCCATATCTGGGATATACCCGTCATACCACCCCAGTCCATCTTGAGAATCCGCGAGTTGCGAACCAGATTCGGCAGCACCTCTGCGTTCCGAGCGTGCGCGCGCGCAGGGCGTTTTGGTGCGGTGAGTATGGGATCGATTTGATTCGAAGTCAAGATTCATGGTGAACAATACCCATGACGGATCCATGGTGCTGGTATTTATGCTAACATTAATTGATTGGGGGTATATTGATGGGATCCATGGCACACCATATATAGCAGCACCGTTAGGATCCGTCATGGGATATAGTGTTACCATGTGTTACCCTGTAAACGACAAAACGGATGCGCAAAACACATGGGAAAAATCCTAGGAAAATGATCTACAAATGGTGGGTGTGCCACATCTATGCTGGTTGAAAAAGGAGGATATTAATGATACTGTAATAATGATACAACAATGTTTATAGTGGTAGTAGGGATATTATACTGATAATATCGATGATGATCATTTATCTTGATAATGTTGATACCAGTGAAATATTGATGGACAATGAGAACCTGTATTGATCATATTGACCATACTTTGGACCAGCCTGGGACTTAGGGACTTATAAGTCATGAAGTAAGTTCACTTATAAGTGGCTATGTGGCATGTCAAGTTAGTTATAATTCTCTAAGTGGTTCCTAGTGTGGGGTAGGTTAAGTGGCACTTACTATTGACTTAGGGTGAGATATAAGTTCTATAAGTTAAATGATCATGACTTAGAGATCACTTAGTGACCATTTAGCTTGGATTTTGAAATGTAAGTTTGTGCAAGGGTTTTGGGTTAGCTCTGAAATCACGATGGTTTTTGCAGCCATTTTGGCTGCAGGCATGTCGGTTGAAAAGCAATTGGAAGCTGCGCAGAAATTCCTAAGAGGAAATCGTTCGCTGACCTCCTACGAGGAGGTCAGGGATAAACAGGCGCTGCATGTGGGTGTGCAGAAAGCACTGGACAAAGTGCAGTGCTTCGCGGCAGCTCAAGCGGCTGCGTGGCTGGCACAGGTGCAGCCCGACTTCTGGGGTGACTTCCAAGCGGAGTCCTTCGGTGAGAATGTTGCTGTGAAAACGAGGCCTGTGGAAATCGATCAGACTCGTTGCTTGGACTCTACGGGAGCCTGGGCATGCACAGAGGGAAGGGCTGCAGACAGCAAGGTCTTGAAACGCCTGAGAACCTTGTTGCTCTACGGGCAGTGGGGCGCTACACATCGGGATGTGCCTCCACATCCAATACTACATGGTTTCTCTTTGATTCCGGCTTCCTACGAGGAAGTGACGAATGCCTGGCGTGAACAATTGGGTTGGAATCAGATGTACCTGTCTGACGACTTGCATCTTGCTGGCAAATGGCTGGCGATCTTGGCATGGCACCTCTCTAGTCTCTAGGCGAGAAAATCGCATTAGGGAATTTCTCTGGTGTCGACGCTGTGCATGGCTTCTACGGCAAGCTCGACGCAGCCTACGGGCTGCAAAGGTGGAGGCAGAAACATCACCATAAGGGTTCACCCAAAAAATTCGTTGTTTGTCCGTGTCTGCGGATGTCTGCGGATGTCTGCGGACAGAAAGTATGAAACTGACATGTCTGCGGCACTTGTCTGCGGAGCGTGGAAAAGGTGCTTCCGAGTGGGTTTCCGTGTGTCTGCGGTGTCTGCCAAGAGGGAGAATCCTGCTGGGACACATGGGACATGTCTGCGAGATGTCTGCGGGATGTGCAACCGGCAGAATCATGTCTTCCTAAGGATGTCTGCGGGTTTTCTTTGAAAAAGTGAGAAAAATCAAAGGTGCATGGGACATCGCCTACGGGGCGATAGCGGGGGCAAGACCCAAGTTTCACTATGCGCTCCATGTCCAAGAACAAATTCACAGATGGCGGCGAGACATTGATTGCTTTGCATGGGAACGCAAGCATCGTATATTTAAGTCCATTGTGGCTCGGCGCCTGACACGGCTGAATTGCTTCACCCGGAGCACGCTGCTGCAAATGACAGAAACGGAACTCACTACGAGTCACCTCGAAAGTGAGTACACTGGACAACTCATATGGAAGCCCACGCAAGACGTGGTGCTAGCAATGGAGCTCGGAATATCTCCTGAAAGCTTCTTTGCCAAAGGCATCCAAATCTATTGCGTCGAATACCCACGTGGTAGCTTCGTCCAAATGTCAGCTACGTGTTGCATAGAAATCTTACATGGTCTGTCAAATGCACATGGCTTCTACGTCGCGGTGCGAAAATTGCAATCCTTTCTTGCAAAGAATCATTATCAAATGGAAGCGCCTATCTGGCGCAAAGACAATCCTTGCAGCTTCTACTTTGATGCACGAGGAGCGTATGCGTTTGCGCCGCCAAGATCAAGACGGTCTTTGGCTTTTACGTTAATCCACGACATCAGGAAGCAGCCAAAAAAGCAAATTTGACGGGCGGAGAACACCCCAAGACCATGTCAACATCCATGTTTTCAAAAATGATAAGCATTGCAAAAAATCCCTAGGAAACACTTAGCTCACTTAGCAGCCACTTAGCTCCCACTTAGAACACCATCAAACCTAAGTTTCCTAAATGCCACCTAACGGCCAGCTAAGTTCCTAAGTGCCAAAGCGGCTCCATAGTAGTGAGATTATATTGACAATGACAACCTTGTATTGATAATATGGACAATAGTGAGATTACTAGTGACGTCAATATGGATAATATGGAAAATATGAATGTAAAATAATGGTTAGTATGAAAATATGTACTTTCAACTACTCGGCAGGGACCTTGCTTACTTTAGTCTAGACCCTGGATGTTGGAGTCTTGTTGGCTTTTGCAGCTGAAGTTATGTTCCAGGAAATGTCCTATTCCGGACCTTTTGCATACGCAACCGTCTGAGGTCTGAAGACGTAATCCCATGCCACCAGTTTCTGCACATATACAGCAGCCATTTTGCCTTTTTTTCAGAGGCAGCAAAAGAATGTAAAAGCAAGCACGTGAACTGTTTCAAGATAAGGATGACAAGTGAAGTAATGCCTGAAAAAGGCAGCCCAAGGCAGCAAGAATGCCCCATGTGGAATATTGAGTTGTGGAATTTGCGCCCAAGGTTTCACCAAACTATTGACTCCAAGACCGAGAACGAACACGTGAATACAGTACAGTACAAAAAATGCCACACTGCAACAGTTTTTGCAACGGTCTATGATCATAAAGTTCAACGATTGGTGGCTGCATTTTTACAGAACCAGTGGTAGGCATGAATAGGCAGTGCTAGAAAAAGTAGGCCTCTATCAAGTAGTTTGGGCCTACTATGCTGTCATTGGACACGTTATGTGTTTGTGGGCTGCCCACCCCATGCAAGACCATTTTAGACCCCATGACTTTGGCCTTCTGCAGGAAAGCAGAGAGGTTTTGAAGCATTTGGCAGAAGAGGGAAAGCAAGCAACAAAAAGGGCAACACAGAAAGCAACGTGACCATGATTACATCCCTCCCTCCAAGAATGTAGATGGATCAGTCTCCACTCGGAGCATTCGTGAACAATGGAACTCCTCTCAGTCTCAATCCCATCCAGCACTAGCACCGGCAGCAACTGTTTTTGAACAAGAAAGGCAACAAAAGCAAGCAAGTAAAGCGTTCCAAGAAAAAAGGTAAAACATGTAAAACAGACAAAGGTAGAGAGCACAAGGAAAGAACAACAGGATACAACAGGTACAAAGCTCTAGGAAATAACCCTCTAGCAAGAAGATGGTCGGAGAATCTCGAAGCAATCTCTACAAAATGAAGAAAATCAAAGACTCATGTTATCTAGTATGTGGTTGGGAAACTCTTGGTAGCTCCTTAGCTCCCCATTTAATAGGGAATATGAATACCCATAGCTCCTTAGCTCCCTCCTAACCACTGGATTTTGCAGCTTTTGCACTGAATCCCAGCGTGAGACGTGGGGATGCGGACGGTCAGTTGACGTACCGTCAGCAACACTGTGGCCAAAAAAATCAAATAATTAAAAAACAACTAATTTGGGGAGGCGAAGGTATGAGGGGCCCTTCTAATTGCTCTGGCCCTTTGCGCAAAGGGTACATTTAATTCAACAGGATGAATTGGAGTGGTTCCAGCGTTCCAGTCAAAGTTTCGATCAAGGGATCTATTCATTCCGGAATTGGTAGTGAAGAATTTGTGCAAGTGTTGAATCACAGCATCATTATTTACCAATCTGGGACGAACCTCCAAGCCCTTCATGGTCGCTGAAGAACCGATGCGGTTAATGGAAACAGCTTTCTTTTTGAGGGCCGAAGGAAAAACTTTTTGGTCTGTGAATTTGAGCAACCATGTGATGGCTTTACACCAAGTTTGAGTTTGGGCTCCCAAGGTGGTGGATTGAACATCAGCACGTTTCTCAATATCATCAAGGACATAGTTTGGAGCAGTAAATTTATCACGTTGCGCTTTTGTAAAAATATTCCTTGGGGTACGTGAATTGGTCGTGATGACAAAGTCAATGTAAAGTTCCAACAGTGAAATATCAGGTCCATCAATTGCGGGATGTGACGGCCATTGCAACTGTTTGGCCCACCAGGCAATTCTCCATAGAAAGACAGGTCCCCACGGATATGACATGAATTGGTCAAACGTGAAGTCAAAGTTTAAAGAAATTACTCTGGTGGGCACAGCGATCTCAACATGATCTGCGTCAAAAAATGTCTGTTTCTGACGCTCTTTCTGCAAGTTTGTGTTGGCATGAATACAACGATCACTGGCATTGGCAATGAAGGCAAAGAGTTCCGCTATATCTTTGCGTTGCAAAGAAACTGTCTTATGGATTTTGGCAAGAGCTTGATACTTGCCCTGGTGGTCATGAAGAATAACGGCTTTTGCTTGCTTATCGGCTTCATCGTTTCCCAATGCTGTCCATTTTTCAAAAGCGTTCATCGAATCTTGGAGTTCAGCATGTGCTTTCACTTTGGTGATTGTGATACGCCTGCCTGGACATTGTTGCAAGTGCTGTTCAATCTGATTCCATAGTGTTAAACATCCTTGCAGTTCACAAGGACGTTCATGATTTCCAAGGTAACCATTTACCAAATCA